ACTTGCCAAAGGTTTTGGCCTGCTGGGAATCGAACCCTGGTTTCTCGTTTGCAAGGCAAGCGCTCCTAACCACGAGCTACATAAAGTACACCTCATGCAGGGTAGCATTCCAAAGCGCTCCCAGAGAGTAGGTTGTAGAAATCAAAAATAAAAAAGTACAAAAAACTTGTGACCTGTATCTATAAGGAATCCTAAAATATATTAAATCATGAAATACCTATCATGTAACTTCACCTGTTTCACTGCTTTATAGAAAATGCCCTGTGGCTTTTGGCTTTTAGTTAACTGATCTCCATTAGAATTGTGCCATCCTGCCTTCGCAAAACCAGTTCATGTGCTAAGATTAAGGAAAACAAATCCTTCAATGGACACTATTGTCATCTTGTAAAAATTGACCTTAAAAGATTGAAACATTAAACTAGTAGATCCATGAGCACCAAACACAAAGCAGGTATACAAAGGGCTCAATTGATTCTCTGACTTCAATATATTACTTCAGTTCTTAGAATATTATACCACTGATACAAACCACCTTTGTTTTAAGTCTCTGTGGAATTCACATGGTGCTTTCAGAATATAATAAAATGCTACTGGTTGCTATATAAATCTAATTATACTGTTATACTATAGACAATTCATAAAAATCATAATAATAATCCTAATAATTTGATACAGTGCCTTATTACATTGTCAAAATGTCTCAAAGTGCTTCATAGGATTTACTATAAAGTGTAATGCCTCCGTATTTGTAGATGATCACAGCAACCAATTTGCATCCAACAAGCTACATGAATTGAATAGAATTTTATCTACGGGGTTGTTGGCCAGGGAGAACAGGAGAAAATCCCTTTCTTTTCCCTCTCTCTTTTTCAACTACTGTAGTGCCATGAGATCTTTAACATTTACCTGAACGATGCACGGATAAGTATAAGATCTCACCCAAAGGAAAGTGTTTCTGACAATGCACCGCTCCCACAGCATTGCACTGGAGTGTCAGCCTGGACTAAGCTCAAAGTCCCAGTGCAGGACTTCAATTCACAACCTTCTGACCCAGAAGCGAGTGCTACCAACTAAGCCAGAATGACGCTTCTTTTTTAGAACATGAACAGTTTTAAACATTTTTGGACAATTTGGCTCAGGTCATTTATTTCCCTTATTTCATATCATTTATTTTCCCCCTTACCTTTTTACATTTGATCCTTACAGCTTGTTACATACTTTTCTGTCCGCACCAAATAGCGTTGTATTTAAGTGCAATTAATTTTTTAAAAAACATTGATTTGCTCAGATTAAGTCACAGTCTTCATAAATGAAAGATTTTGTCTTTGGAGTTTTCTTCAAAGCAGAACACAATTTGCCAAGACCGAGGTAATATTTAAAATTCTTAAATATTTTAAACATTTTTGCTTCAAGCTACCAGACTCTCTGAGCTGGGGGCAAGTAAACAATGCATATAACTCAGCCACTACTCTCACACAGTCACAAAAAGAGTACTGGAAGAAATTTCGTGTTATTGCTGGAGTACAAAAATCAACGTTGAACCCCAATTATTTAGAAGCTCCCATTAAAAAAACAAGTCAATTGATTTGCAACTTTTAGTCACGCTTTACCAACTATCCAGTCATCTGTGAATCCCTCGTATAAAATAAAAGCTACCTTCAATAGCATTGAACAGTTTCTCCTTCACTACACTGAAACTGGTTCTGGAAGTAGCCACGTTACCAAGATAAATTATGTGACTGGGAGAAAGTTATGTCTGTCTGCTGAGCAGTGGCTCCTTGCCAGATCTAGGCCAGCGTATGGCAGATGGGGCTTGGAAATGGCCAAATCTCCATGCATTAGCTGCATCTGCTCATTATCAAAACAACTCTGCCATTTTATCTAATGGTTCAACTAAAGCATTTTATTTGATTCATTTCAGTTACATTTTCACAACGTAATTAGTGGTAAAAACAAAATCAGGTTGGTATAATGCCAAAGTGGAGGGAATCAATTGTAATACGTACGTCCATAGAAGTCACGCACAAAACACGAACCAGCAAATTTGGTGTGCAGACATGCCCCAAATATGCAACAGTATTTAGAAGGCTAACTAGAATATTTTTTTTACTGCCATTTACAAAGGTTTACATCAGAATTCATTAGTTTTATAAATATAATTTGTGTTGCAGTATCGATGTTTCTAACCACCAATCTTTTAAGTATATGGACTGTTGATATTATGTGGTGGATGTTATAGCCAGTAAACCTCAATCCTCGCCCAAATGAATAAAGCCCCACATAAACCATGATTTACAATGCTGAGTAGATTATACCTGAGAGCAGGGAGTAAATTCAAAGCTTTAACTTTAGGTTTCAGGTGATTGTTATAAACATGCTATTCACTCTTGTGGTTTTAGAACATCTGAATGCTGCAATTGTATTATTAATAATCATAATAAATAATAATCCTTACATTTGATATTGCGCCTTTTGACAGTGCCTTCAGTCACACTCCTACCCCTACCCTCCCCCTCTCCTGATCCCAGCTCGGGTTCCGGCTGTCCAGCGCTTTGGGACGTCCTCCTGATGTGAAAGGCGCTATACAAATGTAATTTGTTGTTGTTTTTGTTATTTCGTATTGAGAGGATATCCCAAAACACTTCACAGATATATTTTAAAATGCAGTTTTGTTTGTTTTGTATGTTTTGTTGGTGAACACAGCAATGTCCCACAAACAGTCAAATTAATGCCAGATCATGCAAACTTTTCTATTTAATACCAACTTAACGTTACAGCATTATTCATAAATGTCACACTGAGTGGAAGGGACATTTCAAAGTAAATAACAAATGATAACACTTAAGCTGATCATTATAAAATAAGGTTATCGCATTTATTTCACAGGACTTGCTCTGACAAATTATTATGGGATAAATGTGTGCTGTAGACATGATCAGTGTTATCATACAGAGATCAGTATCTGATTTATAGTACACTTCTTCACTGTGATAAATTGCTCTACCAGAAAATCCACACTTTGTATTTTTTAAAAATATATTGGGATGACTACTAAAGCAGCTTCATACAAACCTTGGACCCAAGAGAGACTAACTGGAGCTTCCAGCAACCTTACTATCTATGGTTTCTAAAGTGCTGTTTATAAGCTTAACATAGAATGTTCCAAAAGTAGACTCTGTGCAGATTCAGCAAGGTAGTTACTGATCATGAGCACTGTTCTTTTTAGCATATATATATATATATACACACACACACACACATACATATAGTATTTGCCACAAAATCACCAACTGGAATCTGATGAAGGGACCAACCTGAAACATTAACCTGAACTTTCCTCTCAGATTCTGCATGACCTGCCATATCTTTTCAGTTTTAATTTTTCTTTAAAGTTTCTTGCAACTGCGGAGTTTCTTTTGTTTACTCTTTCTGACAATAGTTACTGCTCCTTCTTTCCCAAGGCACTTAGCTCGCCTCCAATACCCACACAAGTGACTGTTATTGATGTGTGAGCCTTAGAGGCGAGTGTCAGCAGGCTATTTAACCATGGAGAGGGCATAATAGCCAAGTCTAAAATTATCTTCAACAACACACATGGATCTTCAACCAAAGGTTTCTGGATAATAATCCTTGCATTTGATGTAGTGCCTTATCATGTCTTCAAGACGTCTCAAAGAGCTTCACAGAATAAACTGTAAAATGAATTGACTTGTGTATTTTGTGGGCGAATTACGGCCAATTGCACAGAGTGTCCCGCAAACAGTCGTGGATTGAAGTGACCAATTTATTATTATTATTTTTTTTGAAGGAATTATTACTCTGGAAAAGCGATCAGCACGATTAACAACCTGGTTCCTACTTACTGCTAAGTAAACAGAGACGTGTGGAGTAAGGAAACTTACCCAACATGTCACCCTGCTGGGGATCGAACCCAGGTCTCTCGTTTGCGAGGGGATCAGAAGCAGGAGCCCTGGCTGATTTCCCCTGCCTTTTCCAAAGAATTGAGGCCAATTACAGCTCCAACTGAGATCAGCTAAATCAGCAAAGCACCTGCAGTGATTCCAGTCTGTATCATCTATTCCTGTCGTGCACTTACCCTCTAGGCCATTGGGGAAACTGTCCACACTTTTGGATTTGATCTCATTGGCTGAATACAATTTTATACGCCACAAGCCCATGGTTCTTATTGTTCTAACCCCTCATCCATTGCTTTCCAGTGTCATATTAAGCGTGGGATGCACTGCTGTAGTACAGCAAGAAAAGTATTAATCAGCCTAAGACACCACCACAGGCATTCTGTTGAATTTTTGGTACAACATCCAAGAGGCAAAATGCACTTCCCCACACAGCAAAGTGCAAGTGATGCAGCAACCACTCTTTTAAAAACACTTTGAAAGAAGGCGATTTATGATTTTTAGAAATCTCAAAGAATTAATGCGTCGAGATATGAAACTGAGATGGGCTATGAGGTCTTTTACACTCAGACCCCAACTCTTCAAATAAAAAATTTGGTCACTTTCATACAATCTATAATCTGTAAATTCCAGCAAAATCAAATCTTACATTACACTCCAGCTAATATATTACCATGCAGGGGTTCACAATGTAGCACAATATTGGCCCATCATTAAAGACTATACAGTTCTACTGAATAGTGAATTTCAGTCTTGTTCCCTAAGGCATTTTGCTATTTGAATTTGCATTTTTTCCTCCACCGATTTGCTCGTTTTTTTGTGAAAAGCATCATGAACTGGAATCACTTTGCCATCAAACAGCCAAAAGACTACTTTCCCCCTATTCTGATACTCTGGGACCGAAATCCACTTTTTAGTACAGCACAATAGCAACTTTAATGGTAATGTGTTTCTGCTGCCCACTAATGCATTTAGATTATTGGCCAGAAGTGTTCCTTTCTGAAGCTCGCAGCGAACGTCTGCGGCAGCAGCTGCTGCTGTTAATTGTCGAGCAGCCTCTGTGATGGTGGTTTTTGTGGTACTCACCGTCCTCGTAAGCCGCCACTGCGATAGCGCTATTTATCCTCACAAAAGAGATGTGTGGCTGGCGTCCAGGTTCTGCAGGATTGCGTGACGTTTCCAAATACAAGGAGCCGCTGTCCCAGGTGCTGATGTCCCACATTCGCACATCTCCTGATGTGTATCTGTAAGAAGCGGTTCAGTCATCTGCTATTGCTTATTCCAAATACTGGCCACCTACCGAACACGCTAATTGCAAATAATATCAGCAGTGTTTATGATATACGAACTGCGAATGTTGTGACGAGCACAATTTAAACCACACAGGATGGTGATCTCAACAAAAGCAAATTTGTGTAGTTTTACTATGTGAATAAATAACAGCATCATCAATTGATCAAATGATCAAATGATCATCAATCATTTTCAACCAGCCAAGTCTCCCCTGTTCTTGTAAACTCGCTCAGATATGCATTTGAAATGGACACTTCTTTTTTGCACAATCTTTGCCAAAAAGAAATTTGGCTTAGTTTATTTTATAGCTAAAAGCTTATTACACTAAATGCTTTCTTTTAAAAAAGAGTCACAGCTGATTTTGGAAATGCACAGTGCTAGACAGATAACTTGTTATTAAAACAAGGATGACTTGAATTATTGAATACAAGACTAGACTAGTGGTTACAGTGTGTTGCTTGAACTATATTTCAGACTTAACATACATAAAAGGTAACTATAAATCAATTTTAAGTACAAGGATCAATCCAGCACAATGCTTAAATTGCCTCAGGTATAAGTATTATAATATTTGAGCACGATTTTGTCCAAGTTACATCCACACAAATCTTAGCAAACAATGGTTCAGTAGCAAGGAAGCAGTGCCATAGTGCATTGTAGATTTCAAGTTTGAATATTTTTTTTGAAAAGCACTGACTGAGCACTTTAATTGCAACAGAATTTCTATTTGTAGATTTGTGGACTGGCTGACAATGGCACAGGCTCATTTCAAAATCAGTGCTGTAACACCAAGACAAATAGCACGTGTTATGTGCATGAACAAGAAACACTAGTAATGTCACTTCCTGCACGCTGCTCAAAGGACGTGATGTCAGGGGTGACCTGACAACCTGAAAGTGGGCCATTTATATGTGATGAAAAGATTTTAACTTTCAGGTAAGAAAATCAAGGTTTATGATTCAATCATGCTGTATTTTAGTGAGGCGCTTTGTAACGGGGTTATCCTGTGTTTGATTATACAGTGCATCACAGCTAAGTCCATTCCTGTCCTTGCACAATGTAGTGCTTTAAAAATTTACTAGCTCAGAGAAACTGGGGCTCTTATTTTATACAGAGCAATGGATTACCTAAGAGCGATTAAAAGGCGGTAATTCAATTGAAAGGTTCAGATGACATCATATCAACAGCACCTTACAGCAGTTAGCAGAATCTGAAGACAAGATTACAGTCTGGAAATCACTCCCAACATCCATTATTGTAACATATACGGTACAGAATTAGCTAGAAGTTTTTATTCTATTTCTGGCTCAGTTCATCTGTTTGCAATTGAGAATGCCAACTGCCCTCCATAATCGTGATCCACATACAAGATAAACCATCATGAATTGCAATTATTTGGCAAACAAGAATATGAGGTTGATATAAAAAAGGTCTAAATGCTTTAATTGTAAAACTTATTTTCTCTCCTTATTTAGATGTATTAATACATTCTCAGTCACAAGGTGCAGTTCTCAATTAACATTCAATTAACCAACACCACGTTTTGTGGGTCTGAAAGGGATGAAGTGCACAATATTGAAAGATTACAATAGTTGTAGTTTATTCTGTTCACCTCATTGGGACAGATCTATCTGCTCAGGAAAGTGCACACAGCTGTGTTGGAAGAATCTGTACAATCAGCAGGGATGGAAACTTAAGAAAAAAATGAGCAACTTTTAGCACAGCAACCCTCCCGCCCACTCCCGAAAATGTACAGGATTTTTTTAAAGAAACTTTAGATTCCTATTCCAATTTAAACAGAATACAATAAGATAGAACCAGAACATCGGAAGGGATTTGTGAGATCATCAGATGAATTAAGTTGCAAGCAGCTATGGTTGGTTCTCAATGGGAGGGAGGGAGAGAGAATTGACCTCTGATTATTGAGACAGGCAGAAAGTAGAAAACTTGAATTTTATTTATAAATCAAATCTGAACAACCTTGCATTTTTCCAATAGATCTTAGTAACCATAAATGCATTTTTAAAATGGTTAGATTCTTGCTCTAACGTTAAAGCTACTATGAAGGGTTCCTTGATGCTGTGAAAGGTTATTTTAGTTTCTAATTATGTGGTACAAAGAATCAAACAAATGCAAGAAAGGACTTAAAGAGGGCATTCAAGAAGATGCTGTTTACTTTGCTACCTCATTTGTCCACTATATTTAGTGAACAGGCATAAATGGTCAATTAACTACTCAGACAAGGCCATGATTTAAAGTTCAAAAGGATATGACATTTGTATAAACAAAGGACAAGTAGACTACATAAAACTTGATCAACTGACTTCAATCTAATTTCTTGCTGCCCTCATTCCTCATTCCTTTTTCTTTATTCACACGCAGCAAAGTCACATCCAATCAGTAATACATATAGGAGTTTTCCAACCCAGTTATACAGTGAAGCAACCTTCCGCAAAATTGCTGCTCGCATGAGGCGACCTCTGGTCAGAATTTGTTTTGAAAAATATAGAGTTCCAGGCTACTCTGTAAGTGTAAGTGGTGCAATACGTATGTAAGGACCAATAAAGTCGGTTTCTAAATGTAAATAAAGCTTTTTTCCTGTCAAAAAGGAGAAAAGGAAGGGAGGACATTTATCAAAAAATAAAGTGTCAATTCAGTGAATTTAGAATTTTGGAAATCTCAATAAATCATGGTACATAATATCAAAACTTCAATTTTATTTTGAAGAAATAGTAGACTTACTATTTGAAGGATGCAATAGGATATCATACCTCATTATGAGCCATTGTGAGCTGATTATATGGTTGGGGGGGGTGGGGGTAAGGAGGAAACCTAGACAATTAAGGCTACAGCATTCAAAACCACGTGGTAAATCAACATCTACAGCACTTGTAAGATGAAAAATATGCATTGCTAATGGAAGATATGAATTTCAGTGATAAGAGTCAAATGGGAGAATGTGGTAATGGAAGCAGAGATGTACAAGAATAAATAATGGCAGGAATATGTTCAAATTAAGGTGAAGCATTTTAGCCTAGCTCTTTAGGTTTATGGCATTGTCCACTGACTCACATACATATAGGCTTACAAAAAACACTTCCTCCAGTAATTATTCTCTAGGTTTTTCTTCTGCGAGAGCTGGTGTTCAGGAACTTCTTTTATTTCAATTAATGCTTTGAGGGGGAAAAGAGGGGGTTCTACCTCTTGCTATTAAGTTTCCCCCTGCTGGAAAGTGTGTGCACGTACAGAGAATCAGGTGAGAATGGGATCAGGCCCAACCGTGATGCTGTTTATGGTCAAATAATATGCCAACAATTACGGGTTATGTTCACACAAAGAATGACCACAAGGGCCAGGCACTGGACCACTGCCAATGCACCTGGAACCATACCCCAACAGGTAGTGGAGAGGAGGGAAGAGAAGAATAAAATCCATTTAAACCATCAAAAACAACCAGGTTGTTTAAAAGGACTATCTTAAATAATAAAATGCCAACGCTCTGACAATATTTTAGCAATCAATTCTTTAAAATGTTTCAGCAATCAATCAATCATTTTAAAAAGGACAGGATATAAAAGTTGGTGCAGATTATCAGTGCGTATCATTTAAAAAAAAAGAAAAATTATGAGCACAAACACAATCAAATACAGGATTGCTCCAAGTCAGGGACACTAAGAATTTTACAGCAGCCGACTGTGGTTGGTATTCATGAAGTGGTATAAAATGGGTTTAAATTACAGTAAGTCGAAGACGAGGCAAAAGAAAACCTGGATTGTGCAACATTGATTGAGAATGAGGTAACCACAGGCAAGAGTCTCATACAGGCAGGATCAAGGGTTGACCGAGTATACAGCCACTTCAACCACTTGATAAATTTTTAATGATATACACAAGATAGTCTGAACACAGGCTGGATTAAATTGGCTTATGTCAGACTGTAAACACGAGGTTCTATTATCATGAGAAAAAGTCGCAGGGCTGCACTGCTGTGCAGTTCATATTTCATCAAATCAATACATGAAATTCTGCTCGGTTTCTTTTCGTTGCACTCAGTAAATTAGTCGAGAGAGAAGAGAGAGTGAGAGAGAGAGACTCGAGGGGATTGGAAGGACCCGTGAGTTGAACTACCAAGGGCTGCTGAAATTTTCTAATTTGAAGCAAATTAAATAAGAGATGGATGCAATTGAATCAAATTGTTGACAGATTCTTCTGGAATTATCATAAAACCAGATTTAGTTGCATTAATGTGGCAGCTTTTAAAAGCATTTACAATGCACGCTTGTAATAAAACTGTCAGGTAAGTAAAACCACACACAGTGATGTGATGTTATGACAAATCTAGTACAGCCTGAAAAGAGAGAGAGAATACAATTGCCTATCAAAAAGATACTGATGAAGGAATCAAGGTACTATAATTATTTTTTCCACTTATATTCTATATTTAAACCTTTTGAAGGCTATTTTAGTTTGAGCCACACAAAAATGCAACTTTTAACCAAACCTTTTAGATTCCAAAGCACTTGGTTTCCTTAATGCTAGATATATATTTGATTATTCACACAATATCAGATTTGGAGACTTAAGTCTAATCAGGAGTCTAAGCCTCTGTTTATTTGAATAGATTTTATTTTGATTATTTCACCAAATATTTAAGTCATATTGCTTAGAAAGACACCAATTCCCTTGTAATGCTGGCTTCTATAAATGCCACTTGTTGCACACTTCAATCTGGCTTCAATCTGGTCCAAAACACTGACTGTCCAGTGCGCCTTGGGAAGTCCTCCCCAAGTGAAAGGCACTATACAAATGTAATTTTGTTGTTCTTGTTGGCTGCTCGATACAATATTATTCCTCAGGCCACAAAGTGGAGGACTGTCACCTCAAGTCAAAGGTTGAAAAAACATTATTCCACTTTGTTTCAACCAAGAAACATTTTTCTTTAATCTATCGTTTTTCCTCCCATCAATCTATTAAGTAAAGCCCAGTATAGCGTTAATGATGCAGGTGTGATTCAGTCAATGTGAAAGTAGTGAATTTCAGCCATTTGCAGTTGGGAGCCTACAATTGGAAAGGGTGTTTGTGGGAACGTAAGATTAAAACTGAATCGGGCTCGGCTGTGATACCTAATGTGGGTGGAATAGCCTGATGGCACTAATTTAGGGATTGAACATTTAGATGAGATATTGGTGTTACCAATGTCTGCAGAACAGCATACCAGCAAATCAACACTAAGTACTAAAGAAACAACAGTGGGGAAGTTTGGCAGTGAAAAACTTCAAAATGATGCATCTCCTGGTTAGTTGCCATATAAAGCCAAATCAAACAGATGATCAATTCTGAAATGAAGTAGAATTGCCTACTTCTGGTAAGCATTGATCATTATGGATTTAGAGCAGACAGCAGACTTGTGTTGTCGTTTTCCATGTACTAACGGTAGCCAGGGTCACTTTGGCCTGTTCATGGGCATTCCCCTATTCTCGCAAGAATACTGGGCAAGGAAATACAGAGAAAAAGCTGGGTAGGGCATTAAGGGTATGTTTGCGGCCTGCAATCGAGGTTTAGAGGCTAGATGGATGTAACACTTCAATGTTTTAAAAGAAGTTATGGAACAGTCTGATGCTGGCTGAGAAAAATAGTCAGATGACAGCCCTCAGTGCTGTAGATAACTGAGGACCAACTCCATCTTTGTGGACCTGCATGATGTTTGCTCTTCAGATTGAGGGATTTGAAAGGCTTTTTTTTAAAAAGCAATGGACCTCTACATTTTCAGAAGAAGTTGAGCCACTTACTGTAATTCAGTGGCAAATAAGTGTTTATCTTAGAGGCCAGCCATACTATTGATACTATCCTCCTGAATGTCTGTGCAATATCTATTGAACAAGTATGCATTGCAATTCTCAAGTTACTTAATCATTGCGTGGGGACTGATAAAACATACTGCTTATTTCTTTCTTAGTTTGACAACATTAAACGTGAATCAAATGAGTATGAAAAGCAAATAAGGGTTTGGTTTGGGGGGAGGAGGTCCGGCAATAATTGATTTTTAGCAAGTAATGAATCATCTTATGATGGAAATTTTAATCACGCAAACATCACACCAACTCACATTTATTTTACAGCCTGCATTTATAGCTTTAATTACGAGGTGTATTTATGTGATATCATTAGTTTAATGCACCTTTTATTGGCATCAATGAAAGTAGTTACTGATTAGTGTCTTCTTACTCGTTTCGGTCATACCATATAATCATCTGAACATAGTATTGTCGAGGATTTGAAAGTGTTACTTTCAAGTAGATGAACTCATGGTTTTCAATTGCAGATTGAAAACTATGGAAACTAAAACCAGCTGGCATTTTTTTTAGCCTAATTTTTCTAGTGTGTCGTCAGCCCTCCAGTTTCCCAAGTGACCATTCTTCTAAGTCTATACAAAAGTGCCAGAAAACTGTTTGACTGTGGATCATAACTAAGTCCTTGCTATTGTTACAAAACATGATGTGTGCATTTTCCAGAAGGCTCTCACTGAATAGCGATCAGGAGCGGGAACCCTGGCAATTCCTCCCCTTTTAAGCCCAGGGGTGCGAAGACCAATTGTACTGCTGCAACTGCTTCTCCGATTGAGATGAAATAACTGAGTACAGATCAGTAATTGAACATGAGGTCACAGCCCATTAACCTGGCGATTGTGATCTAAGAACAGTATGGGAGTAGGGTTCACCTCTGGCACATTAGGGTAAATTCCAATTCAATACATTACAATTTTCTAAATTTAAACTTCATGCGAGACCCAATTCTAACCAATACAAATAAAATGGCTTCCTTTGTGCACCGAGGGGGTCAATCAAAACTTGCATGTGAAGACAAGTACAGTAAACGGCACATACCATATCATTCTAAAAATTATTAATCTTCAAGTAATATTAGCCATAGTAATATTAAAGTTGCCTCATTCTAAATACTCTACATGTTACAATTTGTAAAGTTGATTCAATTTCACATGGGGGGGGGGTGTGGAGGGTAATACTAATGTTATTCAGTTGTAGTCAAGTCACCAGCAGTTTACACCATGGAATTAAGGAAAGTCAATCATACCTAAACCCCACAATTGAGAGAGTATACCCTTCATGATTGTCAGTTTATTTTTAAATACATCTATTAAAAAAACGACAGAGAGATTGTAACTTCTGGCAGATTGCTTTCATACGCTCCACTGTGAAATCCTTTTTAAGTACATTAATAAAACATGGAAGGTCACACAATTTAGCTGAGTTTCGACACTGCAAGGTAATACCTTTACCATGGTCACAGTAACCAAATAGGGCATCCATGTCACAGTGATATCAGCCTTCAAACCTTTATGACAGCATTATGATATAACTGATGGTAAACAATGTTACCTCACCGAAACATAAATTAGAATCATCTAATGTGCCAATCAACTTCACAATGATTTTTTTAATTTTACATCTGGGTCACATAATGATTTGTTTTGCACAACATTAAAGTTTAAAAGAGACAGATGTACTCTTTACTGGATGTTTTGGAGACAAAAATTTAAAACATCAAGTTTTTTTTCTTAAATCTCATCTTTGTTCACTAAATATTTTTCACTTAAATATAACCTACCTTGTGACAGATGTGCTAAACTACAGTCCATGCTCACTGAGGGTTTTTTAAACCTCAACTTCAACACTAGTTTTACTATTTAATGCTATTTTCTAAACTGCATTGTTACAAAATGTAAATCTCTTTCCATTTATTTTTCTAAACGTTTTGCTTGCTAAATCAATACAGAACCTGATATTAGTAGTAATGAGCTTTGTTGTTAATTCAGCTCCTTCACACTGTCAGACAACAATTCATAGGCAGACAGATCTGTTGATGATTCAGGGAAACCTCATTATAATGTCCCTCAATACAGCACTGCCTCACTTAGAGTTTCCTACAGACCTGTGCTCACTCAGCTCCAGAGCTGGGTTACCTGGCTTCCTGCACTAAAAATTGACCAAACCCAGCATGTCAGGTTAACAATGGTGTCACATGCTAAAAGTTGCAGGTATGCACTCTATATGCATGAAGCGTTAATGACTTCACTTCCTGCGTGCTGCACATGCTTCACAAATAAGGCCACATTAGTGGCACTTTTCGTGCACAATGCACGTGCAGTGTGCAGGACATGACATCAGTAGTGACCTGATGATCTGGAAGTTAATTATTTTTTAGTATTCTGCTGACTGTATTATAACTGGCTTTCCTGCAATATGAAAGTGTTTTCAAAGCTTCAGTCCCATCTATTGACTTCAGAGGTCTGTTGTTATCCCACCTTTCTGTAAGGCACCAATATACTTTTGATGAGATAGAAACATAGGAATGTACAGGACTGCAAAAGACTATTTCAGTCCTTCTGGCTAGTCCCTAAATAAACAAATCATAAAACATTCTGCACTTCTCTCAACCAATTTCAATACAAAATTAAATCACTGCCTTCCAGTCACTCCTTTGCACCATTAATCTTCACAGAATTATCCTTATTTACCCTGTATAATTTGCTTAGCAACATAGTCACATGCCTCTAATATTTTCTTACCCAGCAAGTACCACACCACCATACGAATGTGCATCACACAATATTCCACCCACATCATATTGCAACTGGCTCGCAGCTCCGATACGGTTCTGTAGGAAATAAATGCAATGCTTGTATATTAATTAAGAACAAAGAACATAAAGTCCTGTAATTAAAAATTTACAGTTTTCACTAGTAGGCAAACAGTTATATATTTAAATGAGACAGAAGAACAAGTTGGAGGTGAATTATGAAATTTGATGAAACAATAAATAATTCATACTCAAAAGGACATGGCTATGCAGTGCTTTTAATGACTCACGTTGATTATAATGCTTTTGTAATTAGTATTCCATCTCAAAGAGCAACAGGTAAGCACAGTCCCACGACACTGATTCCTTGAATTTGCTTGAAAAAAAGATTCCCTGCATTATGATGTAATGCTCTCCGCATCTGCGACCTTGTACAGGAATTTGATTCATGCAGTGTTAAAAGCTGCTCTTTGGTTGTTGCATGAATGAACAATAATCACCAGAGTGAAGCCTCCTCACATATACTGGCGTCAGTGAGGTCATCGTAGAAAAGAGTAGTCTATAAACACTAAAAAAAATGTATATACAGCCACCATCTTGAAATACTGAACTTGTAAGCTTCCTTACTAATGACATTAAATGTATAACAAATAAAGTACAATTGAATCAGGCTGTAAAACACAATTTTAGAGGATGTCAGACTAATACAAAGAATTAACTGATATGATAAATCAGATAAATAAATGAAAAACTCATACGGCGTACTGATGTGATATTGTAACACATTTTTATTCCATTATATGGAAGACTTACTAAAGAGAGTGAGAGTTTAATTGTGTGAAAGTCATGTTTTATATCCAACGGCTACACATAAATATAATTCTACAGACCTAACTTACTAATAAAACTCAAGTAGCACTGTATGCTACTTTGTGTAGGAATTCAGTTCACTTGGTAGTAAAAGCTGCCCTTGGTTGTTGCATGAGCGAACAATAACCATCAGTGTATAAACTCCTCAGATATACTGGCGTCAGTGAGGTCAACCTACAGACACTTTTTTCCAAGCAGCCAGACAGTTCATTAGTATGCATGACTAAGAAAAGTTCAAATAATAAAAGGGACACAGACAACACAAGCTGGTAGGACATAGCTTGGCGACCCATGATTTCATACAATTCCCTTTCTCGACTCTTATCACCTTGGGACGTTGCTGTGCATCCCCAAAGAAAAGGGAAGAAAGGTTGGAGCCACTGATTAAACTGATACAGCAAGGGGTACTTGCAGACGTCTGCAAGCAGGTTTCTACTGGTTCTCTCGGCAGTGCAAGGAAATAATAAAATAAACGCTCACAAATCTTACATTCATTGCACAATAGCTTAAAAGTACAGTATAAAAGGACATTACCTGACCAGTTCCATACCATCAGTAATACCATGATTAAAACACAAGTTGTCAGGTGGAGATAACTTGACCAACATTTGGAAAGATTCTTGCTGTAAAATCCTTGCCATTAGACACAGAAACTCTGGAACACTCTCTGGCAATCCCTCCACTTGCCCCATTTATCAAGTCCCGCCTGAAAACCTTCCTTGACGACCGCGCTTACGCCACATCCCCCCCACACCCCCTGGCTCGGAGTCAGGTTCCGCCACTGTTAAGCGCTCTGAGACCCCACCCTGCGTGGAGGGTGCTATATAAGTGCAATTTGTTGTTGTTGTAAAATCATTTTAAATGATTTTAAAGTGAGCGAATAAACAATCATAACTAAAATCAACCTTTTTTTCAACTTAATAACTTTTTAAAAAGTGTGAATGCTGATGGTGGAGTAAACTGATGGAGGAGATAGGAGTTACAAGTCTGACAAGGTGAAGGAGATGAATGAATTGAAATGATTATAAAACACCCTGATTAATGGTTTATCTACTTAAGTTAATTTGGTTCTCGTACTGTTAGACACAGAAACTCCTCCCAGGATGATATCATCAGCATTCACTGATGCAACACAATTGCTCTCAATGAAAAGAACACAGGCATACAACCCACATGATCTTATCAGCAGATATAATGTTACAGGAGACATTGTAAAAGTAATTACAAACTCTCAAACATTTAATTTCAAAAGGTATCAAGAAAAAATACTCTCAAATCTTTCACCTGATGTAACGTGCAGATAGAAAAACTTTCACTTGAATGATCATTAAAACATAATAGGACTTTATAATACATGAAACCCCCATCTTACCATAATAATTATCATAATAATAATCCTTGCATTTGATATAGCGCCTTATTAAGTCTTCAAGACGCCTGAAAGCACTTCACAGAATATACTGTAAAGTGAATTGACTGTATATTTTGTGGGCGAAACGCCAGTAAATGCCAGTACAGGGTGATATTGCCATTAGTTGCAGCTCTAACAAAATTACATACTAAAGCATGCTTCACAGTAATAGGAACTTTACCTTCCAGTTCGCTCGCAATGTTTGTTCTTTCTTTAGAGAATCTCGCAAAACAGCCTTCCAGCAATTGAAGTCACTAATATCAGCCTTTGTATGGTAGCCTTCTTTCACACAGATCTTGTACCAAAGCACTTCATCCTCTGCAATAACCTTCCATGTCTTACTCACCTGAGAAACAGAAGTAGAAAAACTTGGTAGTTTAAAGATAGGTTTCTTCCATTGCTGCGCATTACTTATCTTGTGTGTGCACTTATACAATGCAAGGAGAACAAACTGAGGTTTTCTTTAATGAGGAGAAAAGAAAATAACTCATGCCAAAAAAAAACTTTTGCCTCCCAACATCTGATTGCACAGCAGCCTGTTACCTTGCTTCAAATAATGCTGCCAGTGGAAGGGAAAGAAGAAAATATTTACACTGCAGTGGGAAAGCTATTTATTTTGTTTATTGAATCTGATACTTTGAATCTACAAGAAAATAATATATCTGAACTTTTGTTGAATTCCAATCTTTCAGGTGATGTTTAAATGGAGTGGAATTGGGGAGAGTTTGGATGTTCGGGACTTATTATCGATCATCTAACTTTATGAAGCTAAGCAGATATTTAAAACAAATATTGTTAAAAAATGAGATTGTGAATTGTTATACCCACATCAGCTATGATTCCTATGATTTGTTTTAATATAACAAGGAAATACAAATGTAATTTGTTTTCTGACAAATTATAATCAGGTCTGGGTTAAGTCTGGCTTCCTGAACGCCTAAATACATTTGCTTGAAAGTAAATAGTAATCACAATTACCTGAGCACATCTTCCAAGTTCAGTTTTTCCCAAATCTGCAAATATTCTCAGCGCCAATTCATATGGTAAATCAATATCAAAAAAGGGGATCTCATTTATTTCATTCTGCAACAGAAAGAGAAGGAAAAGTTTTAATTACACAATACAAAGGTACAAGTGACACCAGATATTTAATGAAAACATTCATCTTCCTGTAGCTAAATTAATTATGGAAAAGGTCGCTCTTCACAGCATATTACTCTCAACACCCATAAATATGTCCCATTAAAAATTCAATTCAACTTTAAACCCAATAGCTAAATATATTACATATGTTTGTTATAGATGATATGAGACTGTCCTGAAGGCCCAGAGACTGTAATTGAAAGGTAAAACCCTCTTAAAAATGTATCTCTTTGACTGTGCCTGTGGTTAACATCCTCAAATTCTTTCTTTTTCCTGCTCAGTGACCCCTATTATCTTTGCGAATCACTTACAAATTCATTCTATGTGAAAGCTGCTATACAAGTATACGTTGTAATAAATAGCGATGTTTTTATGTGTGTGTGAGTGAGTTTATCTGTGTGTATGTTTAGCTGTGTGTGAGTTTAGCTGTGTAACAATAATGATAATTATTTGAGACATCTCAATGACTTGGTAAGGCACTATATCAAAGTGTTTTCTTATTTCTCTGTGTTGGTATTCTCCTTTTTTTCAGTCTCTTAAGATTAATTCTGAAGGTAGCTAAATCCATCCATTCATAACGGTTTCAAAGATAACTACATCACTCCTCTCTACCAAATCTGTGGTATTACCTTATCCTTCCTATTTACACTTTGCTTTACACAATGTTTATTCCCTTTAGTTACTGAAACCTCATGAAGTGGAAATTATCGTTGGAAAGGTGCAATGATAGATTTCTCATATTGGGAAATAGAACAAAATAGTATTATTTGAAATAGATTATGTCTATATAATGTATTTATAAATATATATATATTTCATAAACAAGAAAACACGATTCTGATGCAAAGTCTTATTGTAATTGATAGGGCAGTAACGGTGCTCTTCTTCTGATCCTCACAAATACATTGGATCAACTCACAAATAAAATCATCCTCAATTAGCTTCGCCTGGTGAACTGAAGAGTCCATAATTATTCCCATGTTAGCTGTTGGTGCCTAATGTCTTCCCCGCCTTTGGAACCCATATTTTAAACAAAGATCATTTTTAAATTGCAAGTAGTATTTACAGTGAGTATTGACAGTATTTAGCTATTTCCGTCTTTTTATAAGACGAGAAATTGTGTACTTTTGAAATTATTGCACAGTACTTAAGTCTCAACTGTGACGGTGACCTTAACTAACTAGTGATCAAATAATCTGACATATGAAACGCTTTTAGACGTCTCAACGACAAGATAACATGCTCTATCAAATGCAAGTATTATCATTATTATTATTATTATCTGCTTTTGACTAGAGAAGCTTCTCTGAGGTCATTTTTGTCTGTGTGTGTGTGTGGGGGGGGGGAGTATCTGTGTGTGTGTGGGGGGGGAGGGGTTCTGTCTGTGTGTGTGTGGGGGGGCTGTCTGTGTGTGTGTGGGGGGGGTCTGTCTGTGTGTGTGTGGGGGGGTCTGTCTGTGTCTGTGGGGGTGGGGTTCTGTCTGTGTGTGGGGTGGGGGTCTGTCTGTGTGTGTGTGTGGGGGGGGGGGGGTTCTATCTGTGTGTGTGTGTGTGTGGGGGGAGTTCTGTCTGTGTATGGGGGGAGGAGGGTTCTGTCTGTGTGTCTGTAAGCACCAAGTCAGAGAGAGCGAGAGGGAGAGCAGGTGGTTAGACGTTAATGGATGGTTAGTGGTGGTGGGTTCTTTGTATGTGTATGGGGGGGGCTTCTGTCTGTATGTGTGTGAGGGGGGAAGGGTTGTGTGTGTGTGGGGGGGGGGGTTCTGTCTGTGTGTGTGTGGGGGGTGTTCTGTATGTGTGGGGGGGGGGGGGTTGTGTGTGTGTGTGTGTGGGGGGGGGGTTCTGTCTGTGTGTGTGTGGTGGGGGGGGTTCTGTATGTGTGGGGGGGGGTTGTGTGTGTGGGGGGGGGGTTCTGTCTGTGTGTGTGTGGTGGGGGGGGTTCTGTATGTGTGGGGGGGGGGTTGTGTGTGTGGGGGGGGGGGGGGGGGTTCTGTGGTGTGTGGTGGTTGTTACCAAATCGTTAATTAACTGATCCAGAAGGTTCTCCGGGTTGTTCGGTGCCCGGGGGCGGGGGGGGGCGTCGGGGGATTCCTGGCAAAGGCCGATCCGCCGCCGCCGACTCCTCCTCCAACGAGGACCCCCGGAGCGGCGGCACCTCTCGGCCTGGATCCTCTCCCTCAGCGGGCTGGTCCTGCCCGCCAGCAGGCTCTCGGCGAGGGACAAGTAGTCGCTGCCCGCGCCGCGAGCCGCGGGGTCCAACGGCTCCTCCTCGGACCCGCCGCCTCCGCCTCCGCCTCGAGGCCCGTCGCCCTGGTAACCGGACGCTCGCGCCCCTTCCCCGTCGCCCTGGTAACCGGACGCTCGCGCCCCTTCCCCGTCGCCCTGGTAACCGGACGCTCGCGCCCCTTCCCGGTCGCCCTGGTAACCGGACGCTCGCGCCCCTTCCCCGTCGCCCTGGTCACCGGACGACGCTCGCGCCCCGTCTCCATCCCCGTCTCCAGGGTAACCGGCGCTGCCCGGCGGCTCCGGCCTGCGCCTCTCGTGGCCCTTTCCACCGTGGCCTCCTCCTCTTCCTCCTCCTCCTCCTCCTTCCCCCCCGCCAGGAGCCGCCGCCGCCGCCGACTTTTGAACCGCCCTCTCCCTGATCTCTAACGTCCACGAGCGCCGGAATTCCCGCAGTTCCCCGTCACCCATCGAGGCGGCCGCCGACGTCGCTTCGACACCAGAAGGACTTCGGCGGTACGTTCACGGCCGCGGTTTCCGGTGCCCCGCGGTCCATCCCTGAAATCGTACCGGGCGGAACTACTGAGGCACCGATACATAGTTCCGCATTCCCCCACCCCCCCCCCCACTTACTTTCCTGTACCTGCACATTAATTAATAATCCCCGCATTTGATATAGCGCCTCGAGACGTCTCAAAGCGCTTCACAGAACACACTGTGAAGTGAATTGACTGTATATATTTGTGGGCGAACGCGGCAGCCAATTTCCGCACAGCAATGTCCCACAAACAGTCGTGGATTGAAAATGACCAATTTTTATTATTGTTGTTGATTTTGGAGGGATTATTATTAGGCTCTGTGTGGAGTAAGGAAACTTGCCCAAGGTTTCGCCCTCTGCCTGGAATTGAACTCAGGTCTCTCGCTTGCAAAGCGAGTGCTCTAACCACTGAGCTACAGGACTCCACGGCAGCCGATTGCCCACAAACGGTGGGATTGGGTGACCAATTTTTTTTGCGTGTGAAGGAATTATTACCCTCCAGAAAAGCGATCCACCGGTCGACTAACAACCATTGGGGATAATAATAATAATAATAATCCTTGCTTTTGATATAGTACCTTATCGCATTGTCTCAAATCGCTTCACAGGATATACTGTAAAGTGCAGTGACTGTACTTTGTGGGCAGAACGCGAAACGCAGCAGCCAGTTTGCACACAGAAGGATCTCCGGGTTGTTCGGAGTTTCCCACAAACAGCCATGGATGGAGTGAGGGATCATCAGGCGAGAGAGACTCCCGTCTCTTTTCGAACAACGCCGTGGGATCGTCAACACCCACCTGAACAGGCAGACGGGGTCTCGGTTTAACGTCTCATCCAAAAGACGGCAGCTCCGACAATGCAGCGCACCACCTGGAGTGTCAGCTTAGACTATCTGATACCAAGTCCCGGTGTGGGGGACTCAAACCCACAACCTTCTGACTCAGAAGCGAGAGCGCTACCACCTGAGTTAGGCTGTCGCAATCCGGGATATTCTAGGATTGCAGGAAGGATGTTTGTTGAGCATTAAACTTTGGAAGTAACTGATTGTGATTTTAACAACATGTATAAATAATATTAATACATTTTAAAATGAAATTCTTCCACACACACACACTAACACAAATGGTTTGGAGTTACAGTACTCCAATGGCAGTCTCAGTCAGCAGAGCTCTTGCCTCTGAGTCAGAAGATTATGTGCCCCATCACAGGGGCTTTGAACTCACACGGTCTGGGCTGAAATTCCAGTGTAGTGCTGGGGGTTGGGTGGGGGGCAAACTCTGCATGGTCAGTGGCACGTCCTTCGTATGAGACGTTAAACCGAGGTCCCATCTGGGCCTTGTCCAGGTGTACTTTAAAGATCCCCATAGCACTATTCAAAATGAGAAGGGACGTTCTGGTATTCTTGTTGAGAATCCCCCAAATAAAATTGGTCACTCACTTTTGTGGTATCTGTGGGACACTGCTGTGTGCAAATTGGCTGCTGCATTCACCTGCAAAATACACAGTCGCTAAACTTTTACAATGAATCCTCCTGACATGAAAGGTGCTACGATATTTCAAAAGCAAGGATAATTATTATTGGCAGTAGTGGTTTTGTAAGGGCACATCAACAATTTGAAGAATTTGTTGCCCAAAGGAGCAGATTAGAACACTACTTCACCCTTCCTACCCCCCACGACCCACTTCCAAGTCGCAGAGCATTGGGAGACCTTGGAAACTACTGACTGCGACTGGAAGCATTATCATCGGTTGGAAGCCTTTTATTTTTGCACATCTGGGTCAACCATAAAATACAATGGCAATACAATTTACATTTATATAGTCCCTTTCACATCGGAAGGACGTCTCAACACTTTGGCTGTCTAACCATCTCCCATTCTGAAAATATTAAATGCATACAACAATTATAGCCAAAATAATTCCAATTACATGGAAATGGTATTATATGTGTCTGGTTCTCAGAAAAAGATTGAACTCATCCAAGAAAAGCTACAAGTTTTTTGGGATTGTTGCCATACTGCACTTGAACTCCTCCCCCCCTCCATGTAAGATAATGACACATTGCAAAGGAAAGTACATATTTGTCTGAATATCTCTTTTTCGGCATCCAACATATAAATCTTATGAACAGAAAACAGTCGCCCGCACGAAGACACACCAATAAACATTGACAAGTATATTTAATTTCTTCCTAAACATAGGTGATTTATCCAAAGCAGGAAATGTGCAGTCCTGACAATGTCTGCATTGAAATGGATGTCCCTTGACAGGACATCTGAGCTCTCCAGACAAAGTTTAGAGGAGAAAATACACTTGAATAGCTAGTTACTGATACTCACTGACAATGTGATTATTGAAAGAGCTGGAGCTTGATGAGGTACATAGGTACTCTTTAAACAATTACATCTTAGTCTTAGATGACCAAATATTATCATTATCAGTTTAAGAACAATAATTATATGATTTCCTACATGATAGAACATCTTTACTCTGTGTAACAAGTTGCTCATTTCTCTGTTGACCTAATTGGATCTGCTCATCCCACACCAAGTAAACATTGATTGTCCCAAGCGTTGAGATGGCTACTTGATCAGAAACAACTGCAATAAACATAGCATTTCCCTTGAGAGGCACTGTCTCATGTCCTCTGTGCTAAATGACTAAATGAAATCGTTTAACTGCTGTTAATTATTCGTCCAGAAGGAATATTTAAGATTACAACGTCAAATTCTTCAAGTGTTGGAGTGCTTTATGCTCTCCAGTTAAAAGAAACCTATTGATTTCTGCCCATGTCGCTTCTCTTTCCATTGGCAAAGCGCAATACAGATGTACAATCCTCATAAAATATAAGCAACTTCTTTTTTTTAAAAAAAAGTAGTGTAAGCAATCTCAATCACAAACAAGTTTTGCACCCCCAGTCATGGGTATAGTCTGAATTGTGACTGAGCAACATAACTTTTCCACCACTGCCCACTATATCCTGGATATAGTGAAATTCCATTATAATTAAATGTATTATATATATATATGTGTGTGCATATATATATATATATATATATAATTCTGTGTTCCAATTTATCTCCACCTGCCCAACACAGGTACAGGAGGATTGAAATCGCGACGATGGAGTATTAACGACCTGAACAGTACTCGTTTGCTTGTACATGGTTCTCATCTGTAAGAAGCAACTCTGCCTCTTAACAGGGAACATGTAGTGTGTGTCAGGAACAATCTGGTTCAGATCTGCAGACAGGAGGTCTTGCGGCGAGTTTGCCCGTTGCTGAGCGCAAAATGCCACTGCAATTCGGATTCATTGCTATGAAATGAGTCAAACTGTCCTGCAATCCACAGCAGCAAAACCTGTTCAATAACACCAGCGGTAGCAATGAACATATGAGAATGTGTCTGGATGGGAGGGAGCGAGTGGGGGGGTGGGGGTTGGAGAGGAGGGAAGTAAATGGGTTGCAAGTTAATTAGCACTTAGAAATTAACTGAGAGACAGCAACTTGAAATGATTTTCTGAAAGGGAGTGTGTAGGGAAGGCTTCCTGGTGAGTTCATACGTTATCTGTCGGATTGCATTATTTTAAAGCGACTTTCACTGGAACCCATAATTAATGAAGGCAGATCAAACTTGAATTGGCCTTAAGAAGTTCTGTTCCTTCAAATCCAACTTGTTATTTTAATTCCCTCCCACCCCTTGTGTCTTTATAAACCGCGAGTCTGTTCCTTTTTCAAGTCTGTACAACATTAAGTTATATGTTATGTGACTTCTTGCTCCCCAAACTCTGAAGTGTAAGGTTTCAATGCTGATCCATTAGCTTGTGGGGGGGAAAAGACAAGATCAACAGTAAGCAGCCTAATGTATATTAATAATACTTTACATTATAATAATACAGTAATCATAAATAGTGATATTTGTACACCAGACTCGTATCTAATGATGGAAACACGAGTCTGAAGGTAGAGACGTTCCTATACATTCTAAATATTGCTAAAAGATAATAGTCACAGCTCTCTCTCTGGTCTCATCCAGCATTGGTTTGCGACTAAATTGATAGCTGTAACTATTTTAAATAGTGAGTCCCATTTGCATAGAATTAACCAGCTAATGAAAATCACTACCGACCTGGTCGGATTCCTGCCAATATTTAGTGCAGTTACAGTATTTTGGTGGAGTAGATTTTGTATTAATTGCTTGTTTTGGGTGCACACAGAGAAGGAGATTTCAGGAAACAAGTACAATAGAGCGTATTTTACACCAACCTGTCTCCAAACGACAAACTCCCAGCCTCTTTTCAATCCTAATTTCATCTTAAAACGTGTGTGATTTTTAATAGCCCTGCCTGAAAAAAATGAAAGCACATAGTGTATGATCAACAGATCATTTTGCCCCTTTCGTTGTTCGGCATTCTGGCATAAATTTCAATAGATATTGAATTCCCAGATGCTGTAATGTTTAGTGACTGTACTTCTTGTTGGCGAATATTGTCCCATTTGATTAAAGACAAGTAGATGAACGTGCAAGGACTGGATATTCGGAGGATATACATTTGGGATCTGTGAAATGTCCTGTACCTACAGTACCATCAGATTAAAGTCGACTTCAAAACTTCCCAGACATGGGTGTTGAAGATGCTCAATGAAACGCACATTCCCAGTGCTCAGCTGTATCTCCTCTGTGTCACTTTTGCGCGAGTTTAAAACTGGTAATATCACAGGGAGGTGCCAAGCCTGGGTGGAACTCAGCACCTCTTGTCCAGCCACATTAATTAATTAAGTAAGGTAGCTTTTCAGGACAGCGACCAGTCACACCTGGAGTGAGGCGAGAAGCAGTTCGGGAAAACAATTGAGTTGGGAAGCGCTTTTCTGAGTATTAAAAATCTACATTACAGAAGGCTATATTCGTCCCATCGAGTCAGCACTGGTTCTTTTGTCCCACCCCACACTGAGCTAACCCTCTTCCCCTGCACCCATTACCTTTCTCCAGCAACTGATCACCTTTCAGACAAACTCAGCAGAAAGTGCCTCTTTTCCAAACTCATCCAAATTTAAGTGTCTTGCACTCAAAGGAAGGACTCCACGTACACACACCTCAACCTGTTTCAGCAAAGCACACACGGGTGCACTGTGCGCACAGCGGATTAAGCCTGGCATTTCCTTGAAAAATAATGTTTCAATCATTTTTTTAAAAAAATGATCATTTAGTCACTCAACCCCACCATTGTTTGTGGGGGCACTGCTGTGCGCAATTGACTGCTGTGTTTCGCCCACAAAATCCGCACTCAATTCACTGTACAGCATATCCCGTGAAGCGCTTTGAGACGTCTCAACGACTTGATGAGGCACTTTATCAAATGCAAGGATTATTATTCCTGAGGCAAGTGGTCAGTGGAACTGCAAAAGTATTGCAATCCCGTAGTTTAATCTTTTGCCTGAATACCCTGGACAACAACAGGGTGTTCTGTAGAGAACACATGTTTTAAAAAAGATATAAACTCCTAACATACCTGGGGAGGTGGGAGGGGGGGGGGGGGGGGGGGGGGAGAGAGAGAGAATTAATCATGCAACTCTCAACATCTTTTTTTTTAATGGTTTGATTTCCTTCCTACAATTAAAACGGATTTTTCTTTTAATTTCAGGATTTTCTTTTGGAAAAAAAAGAGAAGCGAATTCTACAAAGCGCTACAAATGAAGTGTGTGTGTTTTTAGGGATGATTGGGAGAGGTGGGGGGGGGTGTGTGTAAAAAAAAAAGAACACCTCTCTATTTCTCAACCATAGCACTTGAAATTTCCCTCATCCCATCCCCCTGTCCTTTGCAAAAAGTGGGGTTTTTTAAAAAAAAAACGAACGCTACAATATTGCTCGATCTACCCTCGGAGTGAGTGGAGTGAAAAGCAAAAAGAAAAAGAAAAAAAGAGAGGAAAGTGATGAATGTAACTCGGTGGAGAAAAGGCGGGACTTTTACAAAAAGAGAAAATGACAAAAAAAAAACCCAGACATCTGTCAGAAAATCACCGAAGAATTACCCCAAAACCCTGAGAAACCCTTTTTTTTTTAAAAAAAAATACAAAAACCAATCCTAACCCTTAACCGCTCTCCGGCACCTAAAGGGTTAAGAATTACCTTCCCCAAAAACACACCACACACACACACACACACACAAAACACGGGGGGAAGATGATGTAAATCCCTCGGAACGCCATGTGATGCTTGAAGGCAGCTTTAATTAATAATACAGCCTCCTAACTCACGACAGAGGCACTGACTTTTTCTGTGTGTCTGTGTCTGTGTGTGTCTGTGTGTGTGTGAGTGAGTGTGAGTGAGTGTGTGTTGGGGGGGAATAAGGTTTTTTCTGTTCCTGGACAGCACTCAGTCTCAGTCAAGTCGGTCCTACAGCGATGTGTCCACCACAACCAGACGACATGCACAGGACGGTGTGTGTGTGCGCCTCTGACCGGCCCGGGCAGCTGTGCCCCGCCGGGGTGCAGGAGGTCGCCAGGCGGCTGAGGATGATTGGGGACCATTTGGAAGCGAAAGCGCAGAGATCAGCCGCCGGCAGGAACCGAGCCCACGGGAGGAGCGACTGCCACAGACACATGTACACCCTGTGCACTCTCCTCCATGTCACGGCGCTCATCGTGTTGCTCAGAAAACACCACCTGTAGGAAGTGTAACACCTGTGACCGCCGGACCCGGGGACTGCAACAGGTAAAGGAGAGTTGTGTGCGCGCTTTTCTGTGCCTGGAGATGTCCTTAGAAACACATTGGGTGGATGTGAAATTCTCTCCCATTGGGGGGGGGAAACTTTTTTTTTAAAATTCTCACCTCACTTTTGAGTTGGAGCGAATCATTTTAATGTTGGTTGGTATCCCAAGTAATTTACTTTCATATCGTCTAAGCAAAGAGACTGTGTATTGAGACCAGCTATAGCTGGGGGGGGGGGGGGGGGGGGAGGGGGGGGGGGGGGTTCTCCCCAACTTAATGTGGAAGAAAATAAGAGACATTGTCGTTGGTGATTTGTTGGGTCACTTAAGGAATAAGAAAAGCGCTTCAAATATTGGGAGACTTTTAGTCATCTATTTTTTTTTTGGGGGGGTGGGGGGGGGGAATAACTATTTTGCGAGCACCAGGATGGCTCGAGTTAAATCCCTCTCATTGGCGTTGCATTGAGCCCTACAAATAAGGGTGTTTCGAGGTTTGAACCATCTTCTGTGCCAAAATTAGCTGATCCAAGGCAACTGCGTTCGGGGCAACTGCATTTGGCTTCAGTGTCTGGGGGCTGAGGGTGGAGACATGAGCTAACGTCCCCTACTGCTGAGAGCCAAACATCAGTGTTCAGGTAAACATGTCAATTATATTCCATCCACTGACTAGTTTGCCTCACCAGCCACTTCACTGCACCATATACTTTTTTTAAAAAAATTAAACGTAGCCTCGAGTTACCAGCTATGTATTGGCCACTAACTTCTTTGTGGCCACTGTGTGCACAGTGGCTCGATATCAGGCACTCAAAGCAACACACCCCTTCGCTATTATTATGGCTGGAGGAGGAAACTGACGCTAACGGTGTGGTTAAAATCAACAGTGAGTTTAAAGTTCCCTGCAAAGGGCCAGATGTGTTGCTCAGTTTCACTTTTATATCTGTAAAGCAGTGGCGCAGGCGTTGAGTTGGTGAAATAACGTCATCTGTTAAGACCTTAGAAACTCCCAGTCAGTTCCCTTTGGTGAATGAAGGGAGTTGAGGGACGGTTTAAAAACAAATCCAGATCAAACACTGCAATCAGAACAACAACCTCCTTTTGCATTTGATAACAGCGCCTTATCGCTTCCTTCAGACGTCCCGAAGCGTTTCAGAATCTATTGTAAATTGTAAAGGATTGTTTTTTTTTTGCTGCCCTTCGCCCACAAAGTACAGTCGATCCGCTTTACTACACGTCCCGTCAAGCGCTCTGAGACGCCTCAACGCCGCGATAAGGCGCTTCTATCAAACGCAATGATTATTATATCATTGACTGTATTTTGTGATGGTGGTGGTGGGGGGGGGGGGATGTAAGAAAATGTACAAAACGTTTAGAAATTGGCACCGACAACAAACGCTTGGTTTCTTTCTAACTTTGCAGGGCGCAGGTGGGATGTGACATGCAAGTCGGTGGGATGCAGTCAGTCAGAGCTTTGCTCTGGAATGAAACTCAGCCCCAATCAAGGACTGGACCTACCGCAGGAATGTGAAGGAGGAATGCGGACTGTTGAAAATTGCATCGACTTACATTTTACACAGACAGCAGAGAGCAAAAAGGGGGAAGAAAAAAAAAAGCATGCCTTTTTTTAAAAAAAAAGTGGAATTAATACTTTGTTACCGTTTTGTACCAGTGGAAATATAGCTTTTAATGTTTTGCATGTTATTACATTCCCCCGCCCCCCCCCCCCCACACACACACCCCTATTGTATACTGGTGTCTTTACTGTTCAATGCAACGTATTGCGACGTGCATTATATTTTTAGTCTGTTGCTCCCATAGATTGTTTCATTAAATGCACAACATCAAAGCCTAGAAATACCAAGTTTCACAACCAGAACATTGTTTTCGTTGTACCAACACTTCAACGACAGCCTTGAAATATCTACACAGCGGCACAAAAAGGCATTTTTGAGCAAATTAAATAACAGACTAAATAACACAGTCGGGCTCAAACCAACTGACACGTATATATATATATATATATACGTCGCAATAAGAGTGATTGCTTTTTTTAAAAAACAAATAAACACGAACTGTCTTTAACAAAAGACACGTAACAAAAATGTGTAACACATTTGTTAAATAAATAACGATGGAGGAAACGGGACGACTTCAAATCGTTAGTTTGAGGACACGTTTGTGCTCGGTGGGTGGGTTGGAGGGGGAGACGGCTCTGGCTTCTTGCCCATGTCACAGCTGATCCAGCCACGTCCCCCCCTACCCCCACCCCCCCCGAGGGAGGAGGGTTTCGCTGGGCATCAGGACCTCAGTACACCTGGAAGTGAGCGGAGGTGGTGCCGTCCTTCCAGCACCGCAGGGTTTCAGTGACAGCGGTTCGGCACAATGGACAGCTCCTCTCGTGGTCAAACCACAGGCAGGCGCACTCCTCACAGAAGATGTGCTGTGCACACACACACACACACACACAGAGACACACACACACACACACACACACAGAGACACACACACACACACAGACACACACATACACACACACAGACATAGACACACACACACACACACAGACACACACACACACACACACACACAGAGACACACACACACACACACACACACAGACACACACACACACACACACAGAGACACACACATAGAGACACACAGACATAGACACACACACACAGAGACACACACACATAGAGACACACAGACACACACACAGAGACACACACATAGAGACACACAGACAGACACACACACAGAGACACATACAGAGACACACACACATAGACACACACACACATAGACACACACACACACAAACAGACACACAAAGACAGACACATATACAGACACACACACAGACAAAGACACACACACACACATATACACATATACACACACACATGGAGACATACACACACACAGACACACACACACATAGAGACACACACACACACAAACAGACACACAAAGACAGACACATATACACAGACACACACACACAAACAGACACAGACACACACACAGACGGAAGCAAAGAGAAAATAACGTCAATCACATTATTGTTACCCCCACCCCCACAACCCCCCAAAAAAACACCCAACAACTCTTTCAAAAAAACCCGTGGTTTCCTCACTAGTGGACGGGGCAGACAGATACCCACCACTTCTCACCAGCCACAGTGAGTGTCGGTCTGTGTCTGTCTGGATCATGAAGATAAAACGCTTCATCTTTTGCTCATGATGACCTCAAGGGGGGAGGGGGGGGGGGTTAATAATGCAACAGAACAGACCGCTCGGCGTTTTTAATTAGATCTAAAAAAAAACGTTTATATCGAGTTGCGTTGCTTTATACGAGTGCACTAACGGGATCACTGCACAATTGTCCCATAACGCATCTAATCACAACGTCCAATGCGTTTTCATACTACTTTTTTTATTGTTGCACAACAGCTGGTCTTCTGCCTTACGCAACCCCCCCCCCCCCCCTAAAATCTATTTTAAAAAAAACAAGAGGTGTCCTCACTGCCCAAGAGCCACAGCATTGCAAAAGCACTGTTGCATCATATATATATATATCTATATGCAAGGCTGCAGCAACCACACAGCACATGGGGCCGGCAGCAGGTGAACTATAGTTCCAGTCTGGGTCACTTGGACACCTTCTCTGCACATTATTTCAACAGCAGCGAAAGATTATAACAATAACCCTGGCATATGATATATATATATATATATAGTGCCTTTTCACGTCTTCTCGACGTCTCAAAGCGCTTCACAGAATATACTGTGAAGTGAATTTACTGTATATTGTGTGGGGCGAAACGCGGCAGCGAATTGCGCACAGCAGCGTTCCCACAAACAGTGGTGGATTCAGTGACCAAATTATCATTTTTAAAAAATATTTTTATTTGAGGGGATTATAACCCCCGGAAAAGCGATCCTCCGCCAATCGACTAACTTCCAGGTTCCTACTGCTTGGTAAGCAGAGGTGTGTGGTGTAAGGAAACTTGCTTAACCTTTCGCCCTGCACGGGATTCAAACCCGGGTCCCGGCAAGTGCTCTAACCAATAAGCTACAGGACTTAGTTCTTAAAGGCACCTCTTTTATTCGGGTTACTTTGATCCCTTTCTCATTTCTCATCCAATGACAAATGTGACTTTTCTACGTCGTTAAGAGAGGAGATGGTTCAGCCTCCCTCATTTGTAACAACAATTGATCACTCACTTTCCCGACCCGACAAGGAACTAGCGTCGAGTATCCATCCACTAGCTAAAATAACCAATTAATGAAATGTTGGATCTGTGTAGAAAATCGCTTCGGTTTATTTAAGCAATTTCCTTTAAGTACTGTCAGCGGGTTTGCCTACCTGACAAATCAGCATCACAGGATCTCTAAATTCTGCCTGGCAGATTGGACAGATATCTCCAGATTCACTGCACTGCTGGCTGGTAGCTCGTACACCACAGCTCTGAGGAAGGAAGGCAAGTACAGTGAGAGAGAGAGAGAGCCCTAATACTGACATTTCCAACAAGTTGTCCAGTTCCAATAACTAACGCCTGAATTTATAAACCTTACTGATTTAGAGTTTGGCATTTGTTTTACTTTTATCTTTAATTGGGTGCTTTACAAGCTTTTCAAACATGTATTTTAGTTGATGTATGCTCCAAATACTAATACAACTAACTGATCCTCCGGTTCCAATATCCAAATTTAATAATACTTCCATTTGATAGAGCGCCTTATCACGTGTTCGAGTGCTGACGCAGATGCCTTTTCTAGCTTGAATGAATAAATTTACCTGCGATTTACACATGATCTTCAAGGCCTTTCTCATACCGCCTACCCGGCCGCACACATCCAGGGACTGCAGCATTTCGTAAAAGAGAGAATACACTTCCAGTCAAAAGAAACAACTTCGGATAAAAGCGTCAAAGGTAAGAATTGCATATCTAAACGGAATAAACAGCTGTCCATAGAGAAGAAAGCTACAAGTTCTACCACTTAGTAAGTTAATTGGTTACTTCAAATAATGGATGAAGGTAATAATAACTCCTGGGGCGATAGATACTGAACGATATTGAGAGGTCCACACACACAATAAATATATTTTTATTTTTATTGCACATTTCACTTCTTGAAAACGCACTGGAAACGGGAGAGGGAGGAAGTGTTACTGTAACATACGACATCTTCAGGTTTCTTCTTGCTATTCACCTTGCAGAGACTATACAGAACAATTAGGGGGCCTCCCATCAAGTAACTGCTGGAGGCATCTCCTGCCATGATGTACTTATACCACAGCTGGATAGGTATCAAGGATCTCAACAGCTGGCTCATTTCTTCTATTAGTAGGTAAATTGTGCCCTGCAAACACAGTTTTAAAAGGTTTGGTTGTTAAGAAGAACATTTTTATTTTCACTTTTGAAAGCATCTGAATTTCTGTAGTGCTGCACTCAGTCCGGCTTCAGATTTAAAATGCGGGTTTGTAAAGGTGTCTTGGGTATTAACTGGTTATTTTGTTAAAAGGAGTAAACTCCATTTGGAAGGTTTACTCCTCATCAGCACTAATCCAGATCAGAAGGCAGCGGTGAGCGATCCAAAAACAATCACTTGACACTTGACAGTAATTACTGTAAAACAGAGACATTGATGTGATAAGATGCTATAAAAATTCCAAGTTCTTTCTACATGCTTTCATAGAAACACGAAGTGAGGGTAGGGTTATGCAGGAATGTGTAACTGCAGGAAACACACTCCACCAACACCCAAAATACCAGCGTTGGCAAAGCAGCATGAATACTACTCAATTTTATTGCCCCCAGTTGCTTACTTTTTCCTTCTCTCCTGAAGGTAGTGAATCAATCTCAGCGACACTCTCACAGATGCTGCCAACAGCCCTTAGTCCAAGCAGCCTTGTGTGAACACAATTCTGTCTTTATCCTTTTTAACCCAGACATCCTATTTGTAGTATTCCGATAGTGATTAGGGACAGGCTGATTTTTGTCACCCCCGTTGCCTCCTCTCAGCCCAGGGATGCGGAGGCCTTTGAAGCTCCCCACACTGCTCTTGTTCTGATTAACCGACTCAAAACAGACTGGGATGAAGCCTGGCACCTTCTGGATCAGTATCATTCAGTGCATCACCACATGGTACATTCATACATACATTCATAAAGTCATAAAGTGGTAGACAATGCTGGAAAATCTGCTCTAAACAATGCCCATTAAAGCTGCAGTTATGTACTACGGGACTAGATTAGAAGCGATGCCAGTAGTAGAGCAATTTGAGTCTTCAGATTGCAGTAAGGTACCAGCTTCCGTGTGGGAGTCCAAATAAAGGAGAGATTTGTACGTGAACCTGACTGGACCACCCAGAAATTAGATACACATATTTTAGGTGTAAAAATTGGCTGTTCAGATCTGGAGTCAGATCAGAGATTTATAACAGTCAAGTGCAGATTTTGAATTCAACAATTCAAGGTCATTTCCAGTCAAATCTATGTCAGTCAATCTACACTATCCTAGACATAAACCCTGCATCACACTGCTAGATTCTGTATTCTAAATTACATCATTAATTTGCACATTTGGTGCCAATTTCCTCACCTCCCCCCCCCACCCACACACTTCCTCTCATTTTAAAACCTCAGAATTCTGGTGCTGGGTATAGTTCCATGGGTGCCAGCTGTTCTCCTGTACCACACCCAAGTGGTCATTCTTCATTCAGGATTCCAAACAACAAACTATTCAACCGTGGAGAGCAGAACAGCTATGGCCAACCTGGTTTACATGGATAGGTTTCGGGAGTGTGAGGGACTCAGGATGTTTTTTCCTCTCTAACCCAGGCCAATTGCAACAACCCAACTGCTTAGCGAACCCAAAACAGGCCTTCAACCTGAGATGTTTTCAACTGCTGCATCAGAAGGTGCTACTACTCAAATAGGCTTCCACAGAAAGTCTGTAATGCCCCCATTGCTTTATGTTTAGATAACGAGATCAGTTATAGTTGCTAACTTCACCTTTTTATTGTTGGAAAAGGGAACAAACATCTATGCTGTGTATGAATGATACCACAGCATTTTTAAAAGGAATTTTTGTTAAGGCATTGAAATGGATACTTAATATAACTTGGTTTGGTGTGTGAACATTGTGTAGCTCTGAGATGCTCCCTTGTGTGAGGGTGCTATATAAATGCAAGTCGTTGTTGCTGTTACATTTAAGTTATTAACTCTAACACATCTAATAAATATACATTTAAGTTATTAAATGTTCATTAGTCAACTCTACCAGTGCTAGGGAACAGATCATATTTCCTTCCAGTGCCAGCAATGAGTATTCCCAGCTGAGGCATAACATGGGCTAGATGCAGGATGAAGCCATTTTCTGCAGTGCCCAACAATACGCCTTAATTCAACCTCAGAAGTACACCCCCTACTGCACAAATGTAACATTTCTATTTCTCACATCAGCCATCCTTCTTGCCTCTCTGAGTGAAACTATCAATTTAGCATCAATTAGCGAAGAATTATGGGCAGTTTTGTGCTGTGGACTCATGCCTACTGGGAACTGGGTTAGAATGTCAAAACTCATTTCAATTAGGACACTTACAGCTGGCAGAGATGACGACTTTCATCCCATCTGTCTGGGCTGGATTCAAACTCATCTCTCAGTTGAGAAAGGGCAATGTTGTGGTCCACTGCAATGCAACTCTCAGCCATCTATAATTGTAGCCTAACAAACTTCTTTTGGGGGGGAAAAAAAAGGGGGAATACAGCAAAAAAGTTTTTTTTTTGAAAAAAAGTCAAAACATATGCAACGACAGGAACAAATAAATGAGATGCAGAGCAGCTTTGAAGTGTAGGTTCTACACTTGTATCGATTCTTGTCTTATAAGTAAAAGTGATCTGAGCTGTGAGGGACATCTTTAAATCATTAAAACAAAATACACAGGTTCAATATATCCCTGCCTGTAATTTAAAATGATGTCCCACACCGATTTCAATATCTCCTACTTTGGTTTGCAAAATGCAAAGCCATTTGGAAAATAGTGGAGCTGATTAACCGTTTGAGGGAGAGAGAAAAAAGAAAAAAAAAAAAAATCAATCAACTCAGGTCTTTTATCTTTTGCAACTGAATTTTTAAAAACACGAAATGAATACTTTATAAATCGGTTTAATTTCTGGGCCGAACAGCAGCGGCTGCGAGTTAAATATTTACAGGTACGAGCACAAATTGCATTGCGAGCAGCTGCATCCCAACAGTTGCCACAGAAACCTGCCTCCTTGCGAAGATAGCATGATGTCACCACAATAGGAATCAAGTCACCTGCGCTGCCTTTCAAAGAGCATGAGTCAAACTTGACACAGCCAACATTCACGTGTCATCCGTTCCCCCCAAGCCTGGTTACAGTGGGATAGGCTGTACCCTGCAACACCCAATGAAACAGCAGAGCTACCTCATGGGACCAGGGATGAGATCATATAACAAGCTGTCACCCTAATCTTTCTGCTTTGAACAATTATAATCATTCATAGCTCTGGCATTTTTGTGATCTCATATCTCCGGGGAATTTAGTGATGTCAGTTCTGCAGCAGGCAGCCAGTGCAGTTTGAGATTCTGCCGTGTGAAGCTGACAGCTTGGGACAAATATATACAATAGCAATCATTTTAGTTCTAACATCCCCACTGGCTAATAGAACCATTAATCTGGCAACATTTCACACAGTAGGGCTTTTAAACACAGAGAATACAGTAATACCAGCCTCTTCTTTTAACAAATATTCTCGTGCAGAATGATTGAAGGAATACGATCCGATGAAATGCAATCAGTTACATAACACAAGGTTTTGTTGACGCCTTTTAAATGAGTCATTCAATTTCCAGATGAGACATTCAATTTTGACCTGACAAAGCTCTCGGAAAATCAAGAACATTAGACGTTTATGTTAAAAATATGATTGTTACCTCAGCATAAATCTAGGGTGGTTAAAAACAATGGCCATATTTTTCACCAATGCTCACTATCTAGTGACCCTTGCTGGAAAGCGTAAGCCTGTGGCCATCAACTGGTGAAAAGACCTGGCTCAGCTGCGAGGACCCCCACAGTTGAGGAACCTCACATGTGAGAAGCCATCTGTGTAAATACCAATCCTCTGGACTGAAGGAGAAAAAAAAAATCAAGGTTCTGCTAGAATTTAAAGTTTAAGGAAGTTACTACGGTTAAAAAAAATGGTTGAATGAATTCCTTTTAGAGTTACTTTTAAATTTTAGAATAATTTTGCAGTGCTGTGTGATCTCATGGTGAGAGGGGGGAGGGAGAGAAAGAGGGTTGAATGTGCTTGGAACAGGTACTGAGCCAGCATGGAAGGAACTAAAATTAATATATTCTACATCACCAGTTAATTGTGTGTATATACACTGATACACAAATAACCTTGACATCCCAGGTTTGTTGGAATATTTAGCTAGAACTAGTTCTGTAAAATAGCCATTCAGTTAGAATATGTGAAGCAGTGCTGCATTATGTGAAATACATTCTTTTTGTTAGGTTTGATTCTTGTAACAATGCTGTGTAAAATGGAACCTGCACCTTCTCCAGTAGATGGCATACTAGATGTTTCTAGCACTATTGAGCATTCAGTGATTTTAGGTGAGGCAGATGAGGTTAGCTCAAACTTAAGTTGCTCTTCAGGTGACGTTCAATCTACAGAGGAAGTTCTTTTAAGACAGTTAGTCATTCGGGGTTGGATTCAGATCCTGGAATGAACTACCAACTCACCCCCAAATATCTACCATTTACCACAACTGCAGCTGCACTATACAACAACAAAATTATATTTGTATAGCCACAATTTAACCCAATAATGTCAAGATTTGTCTGAAGGACATCAAAACAGGTCACAAAATGAAGACCAGGGTAGATTAGAGAACACAGGTCTAAACAGTAGTTTGTGTTACAGGAACACGAGAATAGCTCCCCAATGAACAAAATGGCCATATACTCTGGGAAACAAAATCCCACCTTCAATCTACCATCTGTCCTCACTTTGACGATCTCAGTTGGATCATTAGAAATAGCCTCAGTGACCTTCGGCTCTTGAAGGAGAAAAGAGCTAGAGTTCTTGACTATGATTCAGTGACCCCTGCTGGAACGTGCACATATGTGGATGTTGGCAAGGATAGGATTTGACTAGGCTGCAATATCACTTGTGATTGAAAAGCTTGTTGCTCCTCACACATGGAGAACGGATGCTTGGGCAAGGTACTAGAATTGTACCCTAGGATGAGCTGTGCTTTTAGGAGGAGAGATGCTTATGGGCAAAAATATGAAAGCTCTTTCAGGTAAAATAATGATCTCAATCCTCTCAGAAAAAAAGTGTAGACTACATGCTCTGTCCTTCTCATGTGGATTCAGTGCATGCCTAGAAAATGAGGGGGAGTGGGGGAAGGAAAAGTCAAGTTATCTAAATTTAAGGTTGACATTAGAGCGAGATTTATTGGAATTTAAACAGTCAGTCAAACAAGCCGACAAGGGCATGAACTATGAAAGAGGGGTAATTTATCTTCAGCTTCAGTTAAATTGTTCATCTGTCTGTGATGCTTTCTCCTTGTACTTTAATCTGTTTAATTTGGAAAAGGTTACCAAAACTGTGGAATCTTTCCAGCACACAGTCCTCTGCGCATTTAAAATAACAAATGTATTTGAGTAATGGGAAACCTCTGCGTTGACTTACAATGATTACTTGTACTATGAACGGTCTTCCATGTTGACCAAGAACTATGCAACTTAACCCAAAGGGGTTTATCGTGCAAAGTATATGGTTGGCTTAAAAGGTTAAAAAAAATCACTTGGTCAACTATGGCTTCCAACAAATCTCAAAAAGAAAACTCAATCATCTGTTGTCCTTTATTACGTGAGCCTCCTATAAAAAGTTTGATTCCAACAATAGTCCAGGTATGCCTGTGCTTTGGTAAAGATTCCTATTAATATGACAAATATCAACACAACTTAAAACATATCTGCGTCTGATTGAAGTTGGTTCAACTTGTTTTAATTCCCCTCCCGCCCATCACACACAATAGAATTGTGATTGATCTCCTGATACAGATATGTGTTAACTTGCTGTATTTTGATGAGACAAAGCGTACCATGCTACACTGCTGTATCATAAAGTAAGAAACAAACCGCACCATGGTACAGAAATTCATACTAAGCCCCATTACTTTATCCACAAAGCTCATGGAGGTTATACATTTTACCTTTGAAGTGACCCTATATTAACTGTTGCGTCAAAGTCACTCTTGGAAAGATATCGACTTGAATCTTAAGCAGTTCCAAACTCAAATACTGCCTGAAGTCAGGTGGTAATAACAGTACTAGATTCACTGTACGTCATTCCCTGTTGCTAAGCAGTGACATCATCAGAGGGAATTCCCTTCTCTCCAGGTAATACCAGATTTTCTCTGGACACCCCCTTTTGGAAAAATCATATTCTTAATAATGATGACACTCGATATAGCTTCTCATCATGTCAACATGTCTCAAAGTTCTGCAGTGTTTCTGTTAAGTGTAGTGACTGCACCTGTAGGCGAATGCAGCACCGGAAAGTTCTGCAAACAACCACGAAGTTGATGACCAATTTATCTGAAATCATTGAGCAGTATTACAGGACCAGCTTCCTTCACTTTTTGAATCGGGTCTTACTTTTTTAAAATATCCTTCCCAGACACGACCTTGGTTTAATGTCTTGTTCTACTACTGCTGATCGTTTTAAAATATATTAGACTGTCACTTAACAAAAACAGAACGTAGATACAAATTACAAAACAGATCAAACATACCCGTGACTTGAAAGCTAAGATGAGTCTGGGCAGAATAAGGATCAGACACTTCAGACCAATTGTAATGTATTTTAGCACGAAATCGGTGATTCCTGCAATCCAAAGCAGATCAAAGAAATCCATGCTTTCCAGACTTGTCTTCAGGAATACCAGACTGACAAAAGAAAAGCAGGAAAACGTACCATAAGTAAGTAATAATGTTTCAGCCATATACTGCTGGTGCTTTCAAACCAGGTCATTTGGAATAATGGAAGTAATTTCCGTACAGTACATTCCTTTGATCCAATTGAGGCGGAATAAAATAAAAAGGAAGTTCCTTGTATTGTGGAAGATTCCCCCCTCCTCCCTTTTGATCATCAAAACACTTCCCTCGCAGCCTCCAGGGTGACACCCCCTTTTGGGGACTTAAATTCAATACAAAGCCATTCAAACTCATCCGTAAGTAGTTCCATAGAGCCCAGTGCCTCGGGGTCAACTGGCAAGGCATCAGTGACTTAAAAAAATCAGTGCTGTTGGCCAAGTAAACATCAGCACCTGGTTGGCAATCAATTTTCTAGACTAAAACATCTCCCAGTGGGGTATCACAGGGACTGGACTGTTCAGTGTTTGCTAATGGTCCTGCAGTTCATGTCAGCTGAGCAGTTCTCTGATGTAATTGAGATCCGAAGAAATGGCAGAGTTAGTTCACAAAGATGTAATAACTTTGAAAAATGATTTTCTTTTCTGTAAGAGGGGAAACTGAGGATGATTTAAAATGATTTTAGTTACCCGATTAGATATCGGGAGAACTCTGGACTGAAAGTATTCTCTTTCACTCCTGCACAGATCGACATCTGTAGTACTGAGCGAAACAGTACAGGAAGGTCCTCGGTCAGATCCCTAGTCTGTGTTGAGTTAACAAATATCATCTTAATTATAATAATATACAATAATCCTTGCATTTGATATTGTGCTTTTCAGGTAGCTAATAAGCCTCTAACGCTTCCCAGGGTATACTGTAAAGTGGATTGTCTGTGCATGTTATGACGTCAGAAAAAAAAGTGTGTCTCCACTACTGATCACAGACCAGTGATCTTCCTAGTCTAGATGTTCAAACAGATCAAGGTTGGTTCACGGTTGAACAGAACAAACTCTCATTGAAATTTCTTCCCCTACAGACACTCTATGCCAAGCCTTTCAATTGATCGATCTATCCTCACTTCCCTAGCACATTACATGCCTAGGTACACACTTCCTACGACCATATTATTAATAAGCAGTTTTCTCTGTAAACATCCTTAGAAGTTGATATATTTGATAGGTGTATGGCTATAGGGTACTTAGCGAGTTGAGTGTTCTGGACTTGTCATTTGAAAGAATCTTTAATCATTCCAGGGTTTCCTCAATTAGTTTTAATAGCATTCAGACTAGAAGATTGCACCATTTTAAACAATAATCATTTCTGTTGTGTGTAGTAGGGCAATATGGTGCTCAACAAGACAGAGTCAAACAAACATTTGAACTTAAAAAAATAATTAAAAAAAACAATAATATTGGACAAAAAACTGCAAAGCAAACAGCACTCAAGAGGTTATGAGCTGAACTATCGCATCGTAAGTTAGTTCATGCTTAGCTACTGGCCAGAAAGCAAAAGAAAAAACAAACAAAAAAGTTAAAATCAAATAATGGAAACGCAAACAAAATTAAATAAATACTCACATTACATGGAGATGCATATTAAATACAACTGGTGCCTCAACTAATGTATAAAAACCTGAAGGTGCAAATGAAACCTGTTAAGAAATCAATGTACGACCTGTTTACCATGTAGTGTCAAAAACATACAAAGAACCAAAATGTTCATATATGAACAGTGAATCATAAATCAGGAGCTACAAAGGCTAGTCTTAAAATCAATAACTACTGGTAGGGAAAATGCTTGACAGCATTATATTGGATGCTATCAAGCCTCATCTAAACATAATAAGCACTCAACATGAATTTAGAAGCAATCACACCTCACAAATCGACTGGCATTCTTTCGGAAAATCATAGAGGACGAGAGTTATCCAGTTTATAAAAATTTACTTGGATTTTCAGAAGACATTTCTTAAGGTTTCTCAGGCACTGGTGGAATCAATGGTAAATTTGTTTGCTGGATTGAAAACCGATAAGGTGGAGAGAGTGACAGTACAGATATAAGCTCCATCAGTTGCAGTGACTTTTTCCTCCAAGGAACTCAAGGTTGGAACTCACCTTCCTTTGTCTTTCAGGCACCACACAATGTGCTATCGCACGTTTGGCATTACCTAACCACTTCTTCTGGTTTCAGTGCTTTTTTTTTTGAACTTGGTGGTACAATATGGGACATGAGGATCTCAAATAAATATAAACTATCATAAGGAAATGGAAAAAAAACAAAAAAAATTGTATTTAGAACGCATACACGTGCTATGGTACATCTCCTTACCTCATATAGAGCTGCTGGGTGCTGAAGGTGTAATAGACAAATAGTGTGTTCCCGATAAGGAACACGAGTATCCACAGAGTAACAAGGATTGATCGTTTCTCCTGTCAGAAACGTTAGACAAAAAGATCAAAACTTCAGAAGCAAGGAGAAAAATAAAGGTGTCAAACTGCTGACGTGAATTAGATTCTAACAAATGAAGAAGGAGATTATAACTGCAGCACTGAGCTCCTGTGTCTACTCAGAATGAGGGACAGAGCCATCATTCACAACATGAGGCAGGCACAAATGAATTACGAGACCTGAATCATGAATGAAATAAGCGCAGGACTGCACGGCAACATTTGCATTGTTTAAACAACATTACAAATTGAGCTTCGGTATCATTTTTAATAAATAGGAAAGCAGCGGCACACATTAGTTAGTTGGCAGACAATCACTTTGACATAATTGCCCAGTTTTCCAGATTGATCGGACAGTGCAGCACATGGCAAGAGCAACCAGCAGAAATTTGACAAAGCATTTGAATGTTATGAGATACCGAAGAGGAATTTACAAGGTAGTGATTTCATCAAGGGGAACGAACATGGCAATGAAGCTCAAATGATCAATAACAATCACACACACAACACTAGTCAAAATCACTGTACTGTAATCGCTTGGCTACTTCTATAGTTTTGTTTTCTATTCTGGTTCTCTGGGAGCACTCTGGGACTGTGAGGAGCACTATATAAATGCAAGTTGTTGTTGTGCCAGCAGATGTCATGGCATGAAAGCATTTCACCAACATTAAAAATTCTCCAGAAAGAAAAATACTGTACTTACTCTTAAAGAAACTTGATGTTTGACAGTGATGTTTGCATATGCAAAGGTGCTCGCCATTCCAACACATACAGCAATACCTGCAATATGGAACAAAGATTTACAAAGATGTGGCTTTGTGCTGACTTCAGATTTTGCCTCTATACTTATATTAAAAAGTCTGTTTTGGTCAAACCCCTCTCTAGCAAATATTGTAGTTGAATACTACCCTTACCAAGTGAATGAAGTCTGCACCCATCAGCAGATGGGTGCAGATGCACATTACATACATAATGGCAGTTATAAATGCATTGCATTCAGGATATACTGAGCAAAGTTTAATCCCTTAGGAGTGTTTACACTAGCAACATATAATGCAGCATTAAACATTTGCCTCCAGCTGCAAAAGGTGCAGTGGCAAAATAGAGACAAACGGTCACAAGCTTTAAAATGTGATGGTTTTCATTTTATTTTCTGTATTAGATGAGACGAGTGAAGGGTAGGGGTGATGTCATCACGTAATATACGCAATGACATCAGCCCTTGCCTCATAAGGGTGAAACAATCATCGAAATGGGACATGTGCAAATTAGACATAACACAGAGAGCGAGAGAGAGGCAGAATGAGGATACTTCACTTTTGTGCCACTTTCCTCATTTATCCTACAGCGGTGCCACTAATAGCAGACCTAGTCTCAATCATAACATTGCAGTGTCAATATCACATTGGCAAATTAGAGAGTAGTGAACATCATTTTAAAATAATTTTAAAAAAAGGCTACAAGCCCGTACCAAGCTTATGTTGAAAGCAAACTTTAGCCAGCAATATTAAAATGAATGGAAGCCCCTTCTGAAGCCATGTGACGGCTGCTTTGAGCTCGGAAAGTGCTGGGGCTGGGGTTCCAGGGTCATCAGTCCCATCTTCTGTACCTCCGTGTCGGTCACCAGACACGTGGAGCAGTGAGGGCCGATGGTGGCTGTGATGGTAATGGTGGTGCCGGTGATGATACTGCATATTCTCTGTGCGAATGCTGCCTTCTTCCTGGGGGGTCATCTGAAGAAACACATCTCCACTTCCAACTGATGCACCTAGAGAGGATCCCAAAACTAGACCAGACGGGAAGGAAGTGGCAGTTATTGGGCCGGATTGCAGACCTGTCAAACCAGAAAACAGCTGTTGAGGGGATGGGTTTTCAGGTTTGAGTCCTTCAAAAACACCACTCTCATCCACACTGGTCTCTGAACCAACTGTCTGACTCCTTGTCCTAAAAGAGAAAATAAGTCAACTTCACAAAACTACCCTACACTTCAGAAATATCTATATATAAAAATATAAACATTTCTCGAATTAACTATGATTTGCAAGTAAAACCCAAATATTAGGCACTAACATTCACTTGAAAATTGGGCTAATTTTTTTTGTGTTCTTAATGAATTTGTTGATTCTGTACGTGAAATAAACTAAAAGCTGAATTTGATGAGGACCTCCTCTTTTTGACACTGTACTCCTGCAAAAGATATATCTCTGCAAGTTAAATATGACATCCACCAAAAGATGTAGAGTAATTTGCTCCAAGACGCCCAGTCACTCCACTTATAATAAGTCCTGTGAAGCGCTTTGAGAGGTCTTCCTGATATGAAAGGTTCTATATCAAATGCAAGGATTATTATATTAAATAATAATCCAGGGATACTTTGAAGATAGCCTGACTTCTTTATAAACAAGAAGGTCTGAAGTGGTTTCTAAAGTGGATCTACTTATCTGATTAAAAGCTCAGGGAATTGGAGAGGGTGGGAGAGGGTGCATTGTGATACTACTGTTTGGAGCATTTATCTTAGACTCAAAGCAGTTCGCTATAATTTTCACCCCCCTTGATCAAGTCAAACAACCTCTCCATTTCTACTACATACATTCCCTAATTATGATTCCCCTCCCATACTTTTGTTTTTTTTATTTAATGAATGTATAAATTGTTTTCCCCATTGGTCACACTTTGTAGCTTATTTAAGACACAGTGGCAGAATGCAACAGAATGTTCTTCTTTGACTACAAGGACCAGTCATTAAACTTTACAGTGAATCCTCTGAAGCCCGTTGAGACATTCTCTCGACATCAAAGGCCCTCTATCAAATACAAGAATTAATATAACCAAACCTCTTTAAAGGTTGCTGTTGTGACCGCACTCCATGCACTGTAAAGAAGCATGCAAACAACTAATGGTCTCTTAAGCAAATTATTCAAACTCAGCACTCGCCTTTCTGGTGGGAGGTTGTCAGCATTGCTGCTATGCCTTCTCTGCATTTTCTCCCAATCGGTCGCAAACTGGAAACACAAATCTGAAAACAGCAAAGGAAATCTTTCATCACTAAAAAAAAATGAATTGAGGGTTGAAAAAAAGCACTGTTTTATTCTTTTACATTTGAAAATATAGATTTCTAAGTATAGAGTGAGCAGCTTTAGAAATTAAGCATTACATAAAGCCCTCTGTGGCCCAGCATTGCAAATATACAGATCCTTTTCAATGTTAATGAAGACCCGACCAACCATACATATTAGGAACACACACAAAATATATACACAAACTTTACATTCACACACAAACACACATATAACACACACACAATATTTATACACCAAATATAAACACTGCTTTATTTATTGAAAGTTTATATCCTATATAAACACACATATCCAAAATACATTGTTAGATATATAAATCCAACGTGTGCATAGTTATAGATGTATATACATATATGTTATTTATAGATAGCTTTATTTAAGGACTCTGTTTTATTGATATGTATATATCAATAATCTATATATATATGTACACCACACAGATCAAATAGTGTATATATGTATACACACAGATCAAATGCTGCATATATGTATACACACACAGATCAAATACTGTATATATGTACACCCACACAGATCAAATAGTGTATATATTTGTACACACATAGAATAAACACTGTACACACACAGATCAAATAGTGTATATATTTGTACACACATAGAATAAACACTGTACACACACAGATCAAATACTGTATATATATTTATGTATACACACAGATCAAATACTATATATATCTGTACACACATACACAGATCAAATACTTATATATGTATGTACACACACAGATCAAATAATGTATACATGTTTACACATACAGATGAAATACTATGTATTCCTGTATACACACATACAGATCAAGTAAATGATGAAGATGGTGCACTTGACGGCATTAATAAGAAAAACTCCAGGCAATAAAACTAACAATCCTTACATCTGATACTGTGTATATAACAGAACATCGTCTCGTCTCAAAGCGGTTCACAGAATATATATTATATATATACATATATACATATATAGTAAAGTGAATGGACTGTGTGGGCGAAATACAAACAGATTCAAATAAAAAACGACCGACTTGGCTGTGATTTCTCTCCCAACCCCCAACCACAACAACAACCACGACAAGAACCCCCCCCAACAGCCCCCACCCCCCAACAGCCCCCACCCCCCTACAGCCCCCCAACAGCCCCCACCCCCCAACAGCCCCCACCCCCAACAGCCCCCACCCCCCAACAGCCCCCACCCCCCAACAGCCCCCAACAGCCCCCACCCCCCAACAGCCCCCACCCCCAACAGCCCCCACCCCCCAACAGCCCCCACCCCCACCCCCTCAAACCCCCCAACCCCCAACAACAGCCCCCCTCCCACCCCCAAATCCCATCGCAAACTAAGGCGACACCTCGGTGGCCGCCCATGACTTGCCCCCCCACCCCCCGCCCCCATCGCCTTGGCCTCTCGCCGCCCAAGACGTCAACATCACCGGTGGGGGACGAGGGGGGGACGGACGCCATGAGCGCCCATCTCCCGCCACCACCACCACCGCCGCCGCCGCCACCTCACGGGCCGCGCCGCCGGGGCCTTCCTTACACACCCCATTCATTCCCCGCTGTGCAGCTCCACCACGTCCGACATCGCCGCGTCTGCTTCGGTCTCTCTGTGTCGGCGTCCGTCTGTCTTTCCCGTCTCTCTCTGACCGACCTGTTTGACAGGACGGGCGGCGGGTCACGTGGGTTAAGGGGGGGGGGGGCGGGAGGAGGGGGAGGAGTGGGAAGCGTTTGTAGCCCAACCAAAGTAGCCCAAATATATTTTGCGCCGCGCGGGCAGATTTATTTGGGTTTCAGTGCTCTTTTTCAAACTGTGTAAGAAAAGGTCTTTCAACGGAGGGTTCAATTAAAAAAAAATGAGGCGCCCGCAGCCGTTTTTTGTCGACCACCCCCCCCCACGCCTCAAAAAAAATCCGCCCAAAATCGGGCGTGAAAACCGCCCCCATCCGCGGGACGTTGCTCCCACCTCCTCCCCGCCCACCCTCTGACGGGTTGTCCCCCGCTCAAACCGGTGATTGACAGCAGCTCTCTCCAATAGGATCGGAGCAGCGGCGTCACGTGCTCCTCCCACCCACCCCGCCCCCTTTCCCTCGCGCCTTCCAACACGGCGTCGCCCAGTCAAACCGACGATTGACAGCTGCATCCTCCAATAGGATCGGAGCAGCGGAGCGGCACGTGGTCCTCCTCTCCCTCCCTTCCTCCCTCGCGACTTCAACGGTTTCCCCCCCCCCGCGCCCTTCCGGTCAAATCGATGATTGACAGCGGTTTCCTCCAATAGGGTCAGCGGCGCGTGTGGGCGGGATTTCCGCTCCCGCGGTGGTTGTTGACAGCCGAGCCGCCGCCGCCGCCGAGCGCTGTTCTTGTCTGTGGATGCGGGGCTTCAGCTGCTGCTGCCGCCTCGGCCTTGGTTTGCGCGAGGGCCCTGCGGAAATGAGCGTCGCCTCGGCGCTGGCTGCTCGGCCCCGATGGTGCAGTGCGTGTCCATGGTGTGGCGCAGGGTGCTGAGGAAGCGCTGGGTCCTCGCCGTGGTCTTCGGCCTGTCGCTCATCTACTTCCTGAGCAGCACGCTCAAGCAGGTGCGTGTGGTTCCCCCCAACCCCCCCCCCCCCACTCACCCTCCTCTCGGGCTGCTGGGGGTGGGGGGAGATGCTGGCTGGGGGGGGGGAGATGCTGGCTGGGGGGGGAAGATGCTGGCTGGGGGGGAAGATGCTGGCTGGGGGGGGGAAGATGCTGGCTGGGGGGGGAAGATGCTGGCTGGGGGGGCTGCTGGCTGGGGGGGCTGCTGGCTGGGGGGGGCTGCTGGCTGGGGGGCTGGGTGGAGGGGGCTGGGGGTGGAGGGGGTGGGGGGAGATGCTGGCTGGGGGTGGGGGGAGATGCTGGCTGGGGGGGCGGATGCTGGCCTTGGGGGGCGGCTGCTGGCCTTGGGGGGCGGCTGGGGGGGGCGGCTGCTGGCCTTGGGGGGCGGCTGCTGGCCTTGGGGGGCGGCTGCTGGCCTTGGGGGGGGGAGATGCTGGCTTGGGGGGGGAGATGCTGGCCTTGGGGGGGGGAGATGCTGGCTGGGGGGGCGGCTGCTGGCTGGGGGGGGGGGGGCTGCTGGCTAGGGGGGGGGGGGGGCTGCTGGCCTGGGGGGGGGGGGCTGCTGGCCTGGGGGGGGGGGGCTGCTGGCCTGGGGGGGGGGCTGCTGGCCTGGGGGGGGGGCTGCTGGCCTGGGGGGGGGGGCTGCTGGCCTGGGGGGGGGCTGCTGGCCTGGGGGGGGGGGCTGCTGGCCTGGGGGGGGGGGGGGGCTGCTGGCCTGGGGGGAGGGAGGGCTGCTGGCCTGGGGGGGGGGGGGGCTGCTGGCTGGGGGGGGGGGGGGGCTGCTGGCTGGTGGTGGGAGGGCTGCTGGTTGGGGAGGTGGGGAGGGACTGGAGTAGGGATTTCTGGGGGCTGGAGGGGTCTCCTTGCAGGGAGGAAGGGAAGGGAAAAACTCCAGCCTCCCTGGATAAGGAACTCCAACCTACAGTCCCTTCGCCTCACCCTCCTCCCTTGCCCCCTTCAAGGCTCGTCTCAAGATCCTCCTCTTCAACCGCAGCTTCGGTCAGCCTCCTACCCCTCCACCTCTCCTGATCCCAACCCCGAGCTCAGGTCCAAATCCCTGACTATCCAATGCCTTAGGACATCCTCCCGACATGAAAGGCGCTATACAAATGTAATTTGTTGCTGTGCAACATGGAGTAGAGTAATAATAATGTCACTCAATCCACGACTGTTTGTGGGACACTGCTGTGCGCAATTGGCTGCAGCGTTTTGCCCACAAAACGTACAGTTAATTCACTTTACAGTATATTCTGTGAAGCGCTTTGAGACTTCTCAATGACGTGATAAGATGGTATATCAGATGCCCCCAGGACCATGCAAATAAAACTTATCTGGTGAATGACGATGGGATCCTTGCTGTGCACCTGGTCAGGCAGATGGGGCTTCAGATTAACATCTCGTCCAATGGACAGTATCTTCGACATTACAGTGCTCCCCTGACTCCCATTCCCCAGCACTGTATTGGAACATTAGCTTAGACTCTGTGTGTTCATTGTTCCAACATGGACTTGAACTTTCTGATTCTGCCAAGAGTGCTAATGACTGAGCCAGGTTAACACCTGGGATATTGCTTCCTTACGTTTGATGTTGCCAACTGCTGTGCTGTGGTCAAAATACAGTCACTATATTATCCAGTAAATCCTTGAAATGCTTTATGACATCCTCCCGATGTGAAATGAGCTATATGAACTGCAAAAAAAAATTATTATTACATTCTGTTCTTAGTGCCTCAGGAACAGTGTTTACCATTTGACAGATTTATTGTTTAAATCAATTACTGTTGGTTCTGAATTTTGCATCATTACAGTATATTAATAATTAATGCACTTCAAGGAAACACTGTTGCAGCAGGAATTTTTGATGTGGGAAGGAGAATTCCATTTCATTCTCTTGTTAAGAGGAAGTGAATGGAGTTGGGAATCAAAGTAAACTAATGGATCTTTCCTTTTTGAAGTGTAGGATGCATTAGTACCCAAGTGCTCTGAGAAGTTATTTTACGGGACGGGTGCAATATCAATGGAAATTGTTGTTTTACACTTGCATAAAGCATGTGTATACTCTTTATAAGCAATGTGATAATATATAGTACATTAAAGTAACCAATGGCTCTAGTAAGAAAAGTATGACTGGCTGCGTTTTCTATTCATAATTTAATTTTAATCAGTTGTAAAAATGAATACATTAAATGCCAGAAAATGTGCAAAACATGGTCATGGTAATAACTATCGTTCTTAATGAGCCCTTTCATCATCTGTATCATTTAGTAAAGCTTTTTAATTAAGATTGTCATTTATTTGAACTGACATTATTATAACCTTTCGCATATGTAACAGTTGTTTAAAATTCTGCATTCTTGCTTGACAATTATTTTATGTGTTAACACTGCGCTAGTATACTGTATCACTGCTTCATTGTAGAGTCATGTGGGGCTAGATTTCATATTTAGGATTTTAAATCTAATACAAATGGAAACATTTAAATTGTACAAAGCATTTGTTGAAGTTTATTTCCCCGCAAGAATTGCTGCAGTAATAAAAATTATGTTTCAACCTTCCAAACAATTAGTTTTGTAATTTGTTTCAGAATATAATAGATAATTCTAGTGCTATAAACTTAGTACATAAACTATAAATTTGCCCTGTATCTCTGGAGCTCCTTACCTCAATCCCTCTGACTTGCCCCCTCTCTGCCTGTCTTCAAATCACACCTGAAGACTTTCCTCTGCGACCGTGCCTTCAGTCATTTCTTCCCCCCCACATCCCACGATTCTGCGTCACTGTTAAGCACTGCATGATGCTATCCGTGTGAAAAGTGCTTTATAAAATACTTAAATTGCTGTTAATATCTTGGTCTTGTTTCTGGTTCACCCGCTATTAGGAAGAAAGAACAATACTGGATCGAAACTTGTTACAGTTTCGTGATCCTGAGCGGCGTTTGGTATGGAAAGTGCGGTTCAACCTAGGTAACAGCAGCAGGCAATACACACAATGTCGAAACTCCATCCAAGGAAAACTGCTCATCACAGACGAGCAAGGTGAGGAACTGACATAGAGCGATGTGCAACAATTAAAAAAAAAAAATCCTTGCATTTGATGTAGGACCTTTCGCGTCGAGAGGTTGTTTCAAGGAGCTTCACAGGATATACAGTAAAATAAGTCTGATCTATATAAATCGTATAATCGCCTAACTCGTCCATCTGCCCAAGTCCCGTTCAAAAGTTTATATTCAATGCAAGTTTGACATAACTCATACTTTGTATGTCATATTAAATGTGTGGTCCCAACTGATATGACCTATGTGAGGTTTACTGTACTGTAAAGTGTAGTGTAGGTGATATGCTAAATACTGTTTGGCAATCTTTACCGTTCAACCTGATCTGTTGCTCATGAGTCAATTTTTTTTAGTATAAAAAGTATTTGTTTGCGGAATGTATTGTATTCATCGGTCACAATGTTGTTCTTCCAAAGGTCAGTACATTTACTGATCTTGGCGAACAAAAACATTTTCTTAGCTGGTCCATAAGTTTACAGAAAACCCATTACACGCTCACTTTGTTCAGGTCCGTTAATTTACTGAGAGAAGAATGGAGAATCGCCCCTCTTGTTTGAAATAAGTTGCGGAACGCTGAAGGTGTACAGCTTTTATATCTGCCCTTCCCGTTTTTTTCTTTGCACTTCATGTATACAGGTTATGTGTGCGAGAGAAAAGACATGCTTGTAAATGGCTGCTGCAGTGTTAATGCACCCAGCACAAAACTGTATGCGTGCGACACCTGCCTACTCAATGACTGCTGCAGTGTCTATGAGTACTGTGTCTCCTGTTGCCTTCAACCAGATAAGGTGAGAAAGTGTTTTCTGTATTGCTATTCAGACATTTAAGACATCTCACCAATTCAGAATATCAGATATATATTACAAAATAGTATGCAGTGCCAACTGTTGAATGCAATTTTACCTTTGGATATCAATTAAAGATCCATGAAGATTTCAGAAATAAATTAGAATTCAAATATAGCCACTTGTATTTAATAATATTGATTGCATTTGATATTAACGCCTTATCACATCGTTGAGATGTCTCAAAGTACTTCACAGAATATACTGTATAGTGAATTGAGTGTATATTTTGTGGGTGAAACTATATTTATATATAGTTGTTTAAAATTCTGCATCCTAGATGGAACAATTATTTTAGTGTTAACATTTCATATATTTATATAAACTATATAAATATTTATTGTATTAACTAGGAATATGCAACACTGACTTGCTTGCACTGCTAATGAAGTGTGTTCCAAAAATAATGGCATCTCATTACATTCTGCAATGAAAACTATATTCTGGTTACATTGTGAATGGCAGAAGTCACAATGTAACCAGAATGTAATTTTGCATTTATCTGAATATTTCATATTCAGGTAACAATTACCTAAATCTAAAATATTTAGATCAGTTGTAGATTGGAAATCACCCAAACCATACTGGCAATATCTTGAATTGAATGCATTTTGTGAAATTTGACTTGAGCTCAGTTCTTTCAGTTACCATTGCACCTCCCTACCTTTCTGACCTGCTTTCACCCCATTCCACTACCATCTGCCACCGCTCGCCTGGCTCTGGCCTCCTGCTTGTCCTTCAGCTTCACCATCGGCGACCACGCTTTCAGCCCTACGCCCCGAAGCTTTGGAACTCTCTCTTCCAAACCCTCCGCTTTTCCCCTTCCTTCCACTCTTTTAGATTGCGACTAAAGTCCTTCCTCTTCGATTGTGCTTATGCTCACCTCCTCCCTCACCCAGGCTTGGTATTAGGCTCCGCCACCTTTAAGCGCTCCGAGACCCTGCCCTCGTGGAGGGTGCTGTATAAATGCAAGTTGTTGTTGTTTGAAACTCAAATACTTTCTCTTTTTAAGCAACCTCTGTTAGAGCGTTTCCTGAACAGAGCTGCGGAGGCTTTCCAGAATCTGTTTACAGCGATTGAAGATCACTTTGAGCTGTGCTTGGCAAAGTGCAGGACTTCATCTCAGGTTTGTTCTGGATATTTCAAATGCAAGGATTATTATTATCGGGTTCAGATAAAAACAAGCAGACTTAATTGGAAGGAAAAACTCAATTTGACAACATTTTCCACAAATGGAATAAGCTAACCTAAGGTAAATTCTATTGATGTAAAGAAACTCCCAACTATTCAAAAATGCTGCTCATAGGCCAATGATGTTAAACCTCTTTACACTGGACATCTGCTTACTGCTTACTTGCACGATTCACTTTATTTTGTCTATCCTGTTGATTGGAGGTGTGTATTAATGCACTTTGTAGCAATATTAGCATTATACCGGTCCTTTTTGTAACATCTATTCCCCGCCTCACTGTGTGGAAGTAAATTGCAATCGAAAGACTCCTGCGGAAGTAATTTCTACAAGGATTGCATTTTTATTAACATTAACAGAATTCAAAAATATTGAAATAGACAGGATGCCTTTTCATGCAATTTTGTGAGCGTGGATATATTCTGCAGAAAGAGCCATACCATGAAATTGGACTGCTCAACGCTATTCAGTTGAACAACTTTCTATTTGTCCTACAGGTCTAATTTCAATCCCATCATGGTTAGGTTTCTGTTCCCATCAATGCTTCCTAGCTTTAATAAGATGTGTACCCACACCCCACTTTATACTGGTGGTGTTGTGAGCTTGCTGTTTGAGCCCACTCATAAATTTGTTTGTAGGTCTTGAACGTCTGTTATCTTCATAAGCAATCCAGCATGTAAAAAAACAAGACAGAAGGATTTACCTGCTCATTTTTCTATAGAATGAAAGCCTTAGTGTAATTGATAGGTATTGCAATTGCCTTTCTATTGTCATTTTTCAGGCTTCTGTTCATTGACCTCCATCAATTAATATATTTCTTTCTTTCCCTCCCCTTTCCGCCACAGAGTGTTCAGCATGAAAATAACTACAGAGATCCGACAGCAAAGTATTGTTATGGAGAAGACCCTCCAGAATTGCTTCCATTGTGAACTGTTTGGTTGTCAAAACCCCAAAAGAATCAAATAATAATCCTTGTATTTGAAATAGCGCCTTATCACGTCGTTGAGACTTCTCAAGGCACTTCATATTTTTTTGGTGTGAAGTGGATTGACTGTACTTTGTCGGCGAAATGCGTCAGATGATTGCGCACAGCAGTGTCCCAAAAACAGTTGTGGATTGAGCGACCAAATTATTATTCTTTTTGGAGGGATTATTGCCCTCGGAAAGTAATCCGTCAATCGACTAACACCCAGGTTCCTACTTACTGCTAGGTCAACAGAAGCGTGTGGAGTAAGGCAACTTAAGGTTTCACCCCGCCCACGAATCGAACCGGGATCCTCAAATTAAGTTTCACCACAGAAGGATTACACAAGTTATTCAAAACTTTAGTGACGAGAGTGTGGTAAATCTGACTTCTACATGCCTATTTAATATTTATTTTAACTTCTGAGCTCTCTTGATGGCAGCCGGGGATGTGACCATGTGCAAAAATGACTCCATCTCAAAACCTAATCAGTCTGCGATCAATTCCTCAACCTGAGTAGATTACTGCCAGAAGCTAACAAAAAATCATCTGCAACCCTAATTGCTATTGCTTTCCATATTTGGAAATTAATTTGAACAATATGTAAATATCCGTATGTTTATTGAAATTAAGACATACCCTACACCTGATTTATGAGTCTTTGCTCTAATGTCATTTTAAATTCTTGGCAATTGGTAAAGGGTCATGATCAGAAGATGGTGGAACCAAATGGTTATGTTTCTGGTGCAGATTTGTAATCATTTAGAATAATAATCTTTCATTTGTTACATCGGGAGGACGTCTCAAAGCACTTCACAGGATATACTGTAAATTGTAGCGACTGTTTTGTAGGTTTGGACATCATTGAACTATATTTGATGCAGTCACATGAAATTGCTCAATGTGGGGTTCAAGCATTAGTTAATCTAATGTAATCAATCCTAACAGTCATTCCAATCAAAGAATGATGAATGGCAGCATTAGAGTCTTGAAATTGGGAACATAACTGCTGTCCGTAAAGAGGCCAAACCATATTTGATGGTCTGCATGAATTTTTAAAAGGATGCAATTATTACAGACTGAATTATTTTCCAATCGTGTATTCGTGCTCCAAAAAGAATGCTCTACTTGTTCATCTGTTAACTTTCAGGTGCAGGTTGTGGAAGGAAATGCTTTCTACAGTATACATAACTTGAACCAAAGAATACTCCCAAGCATGTTGACCTTTCTTGGCCATCTCTTGTGAGAATTGAGAGAGGGGAGGGAAATCTTCCATTCACAAACTGATATACAAGCCCCTTGTAGTCAAGTTTTAAGTAAATGTTTGCTTCTATGAAGACTTTGATGCATTGCAAGGTGCAAGTCGTAGATCAATTTAATTGTTCTGGACAAGAAATTATTTTGGTATGACAGTCAGAAGCAAAGGACTGATGAATAGAATGTATCCATATGAGCCAACATATTTCTTAGTGCTTTTTTTTGTATATCCATGTATTCAAAGATGATTTGTAATATAGTGAGCATCTTGTTCATTAGGGCTATGGAAACAAATGACGTGCTTCCAGTTTTTGTTATTCTGGGTCTTAACAATATTAGCTACTGTTAATTTTTCTGTATGGGAATTAAGAGGACATATAAACTAAAAGATGTATCAAAGTGTTTTTGAATGCACAATAAGAATAGCACAATAAAGAACCGATGTTTTAGAAACCCGTTTTCTGTTCATTCAAAGTACTGACGTACTTCAAATAAGAATTGATTTATCTTCTGTTTTTTAACCATCTTAACTTGGGCACAGCAGAGGTTGAAGGTAAAATATCCCAAATGGGAAGAGGAAAAGTGGGACGTGACCAGCGATGACTTGCGATTTCTTACAATAAATCTTGTGTAACATTCCGGATTTTGCTGCTGGATTTTTCTGGGTAAGGAATTCCTTTTGATTCCCAGTTTATTTTCAAGAGGAAACTTTGCGAAACGTGACACCAGTTATCCGAAGGGTCAGGCTGCAGAAACTTACCAATGTGCATAGAACGTGGATTCCAAGGTCAAAACAATTTCCAGCAGATGGAGAATTCTGATTCCTAACATGGTTTAAGAGGCTAAAAGAAAGATCTGGTTTAGAGCATTGTGTCCAAGCACTGTAGCCTCTCCAAGTCAATGACCTGATCTGTTGAATACACTTAACGGCAGGGCAATATATCGTAGCTCCCATTTCCTACGTCAGTTCTCTTGTTGCCTCTTTAAGCCTTTAAACTGACAATCTCGACTGGATTAATGCTTAATTGTGGTCACTTTTGTGCTCTAGACTTTCACCCACTACTGACTAGATTGAGATTTCTCAGAATCTTGTCCGAGATGTGTCAGTCTGAATGTGGATCAAACCAAGATCCAGAGGTGATGGGATTGTACTCTTAATAACAAGAACAAAATACATTTACACAGCGCCTTTCACGTCAGCAGCATGTCCCAAGGCGCTGGACAGTTGGATTTGGATCCGAGCAGGGGTTTGGGATCAGGAGGGGTAGAGGCCAGGGAGGGTAGGGTAAGGAGAGTGGCTGAATGCACGGTCAAAGAGGAGGGTCTTAAGACATGCTTTGAAGGAGGCAAGGGATGGAATAAGACAAAAGGCACTGTGAGATCGAGTTCGAAAGGGTGGCGGGAGAGAAGCTGAAGGCCCGACTGCTGATGGTAGGGTGGACCGGGCAGGGGACGTGGAGCAGGCCAGAGCCTGCTGAGTGGATGGTAAATGCAATCTAATTTTAATGATCTTGAGCAACTGCACACAGTATAAGTGANTTTTTTTTCACGCATCTTGTGCAGACTGAAGTGATATTAATTGCTGGTAAGTGAAATATAACCAACATATTTTATAAAACCCCATGGGACATTGCAGCCACATACAATATTAATAATCCTGTATTTTCTAAATTCATTAATGATTCATTTCCTTAACCCATTATTAATTTAATATCAGTCGTGCAGGCAAGCTTAATATGTAACATATTTCCGAAATGACTGCAAATGCAGTATTAAACAAATTCAAGGCTTTCAGCAAACTTACAGAGGAAGCATACTATTTGGGCAGTTTAACCAAAGCTCTGCCATTATAGGACGCAATGCTCTTTAAGCCTGCGGACAAAGCAGAGAGATTTTCCGTGTCTTAAGAAAAGTAGAAGCCAATAGTAGCAGTTGAATTTGTTTAAGCTGGAAACGTTAACCTGTTAATGTAACATGAACCTGGGGATTCATCTACCAGCTATATTTAAAAATACTCTAGGGGGTGCCCCTTTCCTTTATTAATTGATTAATTAATTAATCATTTATAAACGAATGCACTTTGTTATACATAGATACAATATAGTCAACACACTGGAATATTTGTACTTGGTTTGTGGCATCACTGCTTAGATTTCATAAATGTTGCACAGCTAATAGTCGTTCATTTGGGTGACAAGTCAATTGCTGAGCCCCAGTTAAAAAGTCATTCACAAGTCATGGTTGTTTGTGGGACATCGGTGTTCGCAAATTGGCTGCCGGGTTCGCCCACAAAAACACGGTCCCCGCTTTACAGCATGTCCTGTGTAGAGCTTTGGGACGTCCTCGGGACATGAAAGGCTCCGTGACAAATCTTAACGCTTATTATTTATTCTTCTTATTAGTTAATATTCTGAATCTAATTAACAGCAGCAGGCTGTGACATGTTAAAGTATAACTTTACGAGCAGAGCTGAACTGAGACGAGATGTCTGCAGGTTTTAACTGCAATCTGAATGCGAGTTCAGAATATTTGAAACTTTAGCTCCTGAGCTTTTGAATGTCATGCTTTCTCCCTCCAGTGACATGGAACAAGCTGGTTTACAGCCAGCTCCTGCTGATTGCTATAAGGTGGAGGAATTGTAGTGTGTCACACTTAATTTTGGACAACTGCTGGTGCACATTAATCAAATACCTGAAATGGCTTTTAGTGTCAAGAGGACAATTTTCCATTGAACTATCGGGAATTTATCTGAATCCCAAACCCTTACCATCTGCCCTGACACCCTCCAAAAAAAAAACGCTCAATAAAAACAAGACAGAATTCACTTCAGCGCATCCTTCTGAAATGCCAAAGGAGGCATCTTTGTTTTATTCCTCTCGGAAATCGCCTTCAGTAAACTTTCCCGTTGCAAGAGATTAAATGGTTAGTCTGCCTTTGGTTAATTGAATCTTTTTCTTTTACGCAGTCCATTAATCTCTTCAGCAGCTTGTTCTGTTTGCTGCACACCCTGGGTTTCCTCCGGAATAAAGTGCATTATCATTTCAAATGTAATTTTCTCGAAATTAACGGATCATATTTAAACAAGGTTTTCATTTTTGGTTGAAATTCATAACTCGAACTCCTTTTAATTGGTGAGGGGGAAAACAAGGCTATTATTAGGGCTCGGGTTATGTGCAATTGGCACAGCGGAGAGATTGGTTCAGCGTATACAAACTAGGGCATCCATCACTGTGACAACCAAAGCACTGCATTAAAGGGAACTCGAGTGACACTGCTATTTGCTCGAGCCTGTTATCTGACACTATCGCAACCGCAAACATATTGATCAGAAAAGCGTGCGTAGCTGAACTAACTAATTCAATTTTGTGTTTTTTTACACAAACTGTGGAGTCCTGTAGCGTATTGGTTAGAGCGCTCGCCTCTCAAGCGAGAGGACCTGGGTTTGGTTCCCGGGCAGCGCGAAACATTAGGCAAATTTCCTTACTCTACCCGTCTCTGTTTACCTGGCAGTAAGCAGGAACCTGTGTACATTTAAGCCACGCTTTTGTCACCGATTTATGTTGCTGTTGTTGATTTAGCTGTAGTGGTTGGATGTAGTAGGGAATATCAAGATGAAACAATGAATGTTAATCAATGCCCCACATTTTCTGCAGAGGTTGAGACCTTGACATCAGGTACACTGCAAAGATATATCAGGTAATAGCCATGAATAACGTTACACTTGTCTTACGTTAACATTGGCTGCTTTGTTTGCCTGCATTTTGACATGATAAGGCGC